TTACCGTCCAGGGGTCCTTTACCTTTTACCTTTTACTATAAGCCCTGCTTGCTAAATGGAGCCGCCTAGTTCAGAGCAGTCTACTTCTGTGAGTACCACAGTGGGGGGAAATTGCTGTTATGCTCTGCTTTTGAGTTGCCTTGATCTCTCTTGGAAATAGGATACCGGGCTTAAATGGACTCTTTGGTGCAATCCAATGTGGTGATTCTTCAGCTTGCCATTTCCAAATGCAGCTTCCTCCATCGTCTCCATGAGAGTGTGGGAGCCGCTTTTCACCAAGGCAGTGAGCGCCGGAAGTCCCCATCCCCTACTTCTTTAGAGCATATTTCATTTTCAATTTAACTGGGTAACTGAGCATGTTGCAAATCCCAGGCACCCAACACCTTAATTTACCCAGAGGCAAATCTGTGTCATGAGGCTGTGCCCTGGAGTCATTTATACTTCCTGGTGTATAAAACGAGTCACAGTATGATAGTGTCTCCCTCTCTCCTCATTCTAGGGGGGGGGGGTTCCCCAATGCAATCAATGTTCAAGAAGCTTATAACCTTGTTGTGCAGCTATGGCCACCACCTTAGAAGGCTGCAAAAGATTCGACCAAATTATTGCTGCATTTGCATCCCCATGTTCTTTTGCACAGGGAGCAGCCAGTAAGTGCACCCTAGTTACACACATGCCTGCACAATTGTGCAACGCAGCAGAGCAGAGGCAGCACAACAAGCAAACCGTATGCCAAACAAGTTCTCCTCCTTTGCCACACTGGCCTTGGAGTGGGGTGGGGTGTGTGTGTGTGTGTGTGTGTGTGTGTGTGTGCCTGTGCCCTGCCCATGGGAGCACCTGCCTTGCCAGATTTCTGTTCAAAATCTGAGTTGTTCCACTGGCTAAGCTGCGTTCAGGCAGCTCCCTCTTGTGGGTATTTGTAGCAACAATGTGCTCCTCGCACATGTTAAATTGCCAGCCCCCTGTCTTCAGCCGAAGATTCTCAAGTGCCAGGGTGGAGTGGGAAGGGATCCAAATAGTACAGTTCTGGTCAAAAAGGATATTGTAAAGTTGGGAAAGATTCAGAAAAGGGCAGTCAAAATGGTCAAGGGGATGTAGCAACTCCCCAAGAGGAAAGGTCACAGCATTTGAGACTTTTTAGTTTAGAAAAAAGGCGAGTAAGAAGAGACATGATACGAGTTTATAAAATATGCATGGCAAGGAGAAAGTGGGCAGAGAAAAGCCCCCCTCCCCTCACTGGGAGCCAGTGTGGTGCAGTGGTTAAGAGCGGTGGACTCGTAATCTGGTGAACCAGGTTCGCTTCCCCGCTCCTCCACATGCAGCTGCTGGGTGACTTTGGGCTGCTCACACTTCTCTGAAGTCTCTCAGCCCCACTCTCCTCACAGAGTGTTTGTTGTGGGGGAGGAAGGGAAAGGAGAATGTTAGCCACTTTGAGACTCCTTCGGGTAGTGATAAAGAGGGATATCAAATCCAAACTCTTCTTCATAATCCTAGAAATTTTGAGTTATCTAGTGGAGCGGATGAAGGGACGCGGGTGGCGCTGTGGGTAAAACCTCAGTGCCTAGGACTTGCCGATCGTATGGTCGGCGGTTCGAATCCCCGCGGCGGGGTGAGCTCCCGTCATTCGGTCCCAGCTCCTGCCCACCTAGCAGTTCGAAAGCACCCCTAAGTGCAAGTAGATAAACAGGTACCGCTTTATAGCCGGAAGGTAAACAGCGTTTCCGTGCGCTGCGCTGGTGCTGGCTCGCCAGAGCAGCTTTGTCACGCTGGCCACGTGTCCCGGAAGTGTCTTCGGACAGTGCTGGCTCCCGGCCTCTTAAGCGAGATGAGCACGCAACCCCAGAATCGGTCACGACTGGCCCGTACGGGCAGGGGTACCTTTACCTTTACCTTTAGTGGAGCGGAATATTGGAAGATTCAGGGCAGATATAAGAAAGTCCTTCACTCAGCTAATCGTTAAACTATGGAACTCCCTCCCACAGGAGATAGTGATGATTGTCACCTTGCATGGCTTTAAAATTCATGGAAAATAAGGCTAATGTTACAAAAAGAAAAGAAAAGAAAAAGAAAGCAAGGTTATCAATAGCTACTAGCCTTAATGGCTATTGAACTGCTTCTGATTTCCTTTCAGTGCCAGACCTGAAGGGAGCTCGATCAGGCCTTTCACATGCAAGTCCTCACCTCCAGGTTTAGGCAGGAAAAGTTATTCCCTTTTACTACTGCTGTTAAGCAATTGAGACTCAGAAACTCTTGCTATTATCTACCCAGAGTAAATCCCGCAGATCATTTTGTAGATGTTGATCTTTGTTCCAGCCAGGAGCTGCCTAATGTCCTGAGTGTGTACGGTGCTTTACAGAGCATGAGGAAAGATCTCTGCCTCAAAGAGCTTACAGTCTAAAATTAGACAATGGGAACAACTGGAAAAGGAGAGAGCAAGGGGCAGATGGGGTGAATAAGAAAGTCACATGCAGCTGTTTCAGTTGCACGAGTTTCATTCAGATCAGATCAAACATTTATTGCTATACAATTATCAGAATTAAGGAAACAAAATGAGAAGGACATGAAACATACTATGCTAATATGTTTAGCAGGGTAAAAAAAGAACAAAAGCAAATAGAAGTAGCGCAGAGTGAGGTAAAATGGGCACCAATGTTTTAAAAATTATAGTCATGTCACAAACCTAAAGAGGAAAAATCACAAATGTCAGAGGGATCAGTGCTTGCTGCAGAATAGTACTTGGCCACACTGAAAACAATAAATTTCAATCTGAAAGGAATAAAATGATGTGACGTGCACCTGTTCCTCCATCAATCACTGGCTGGGTGGCAAAGAGGGGTGGGAGACACCAGCCCAAGAACTCGGGATAACACAGAGGAAGAAGATTTAGACCAGGGCTCCACATCCTTTTTCAGCCGTGGGCTGGTCCACTGTCCCTCAGACCCTGTGATGGGCCAGACTATATTGTTTGAATGAATTCCTACGCCCCACAAATAACCCAGAGCTGCATTTTAGATAAAAACACATATTCTACTCATGTAAAAACACCAGGCAGGCCGCACAAATAACCCAGAGATGCATTTTAAATAAAAGGACACATTCTACTCATGTGAAAACACACTGATTCCTGGACCGTTCGCGGGCTGGATTTAGAAGGCGATTGGGCCGCATCTGGCCCCCGGGCCTTAGGTTGCCTACCCCTGATTTAGACCCAGGACAGTGGCGGTGGGACAGTCTGCAAACTGGAAAGTGGCAAACTGGAAGTGGCAAACTAGGAAGCCAGGGCAGGGCAGGGCCCTGAGGGCCTCAGTGTGAGTGCAGACACTAGCAGAGAGAAACAAGATGCTGCTTCAGTTGCCCAGCAGCGGGGCAGCACAACAGGAAACAGGGGACGCAAATCATTGACACAATAGGAAATACAGGGGGGGGGACGCAAATTGGTGGCGCAACAGGAAACAGGATGCAAATCATTGACGCAACAGGAAACACGGGTGGCGCAAATCATTGACGCAACAGGAAACACAGGGGGGACACAAATTGGTGGCGCGACAGGAAACAGGATGCAAATCATTGACGCAACAGGAAACACGGGGGAAGCAAATCAGTGGGGCAACAGGAAACACATCCTTTACATATAATGCTACTCCTTCTCCCTTCCTGTTTGGCCCTTTTCTCTTGAACAGGTCATACCCCTCAATTCCTACATTCCAGTCATCGGTCTCATCCCACAATATTTCAATAATGCCTACCAGGCACTGGCAAAGGAACAGGGTGGGGAGAGCGCACTGCCCCGTCACCATTGGGGAGGGGAGTACCATCGCGGCCACCCCGGATAGGCGTCGTGCACCCCCACCACCACGTCGAACGTCACACCCCCATGGGTAGCGCACCACACCCCCAGGATGCACACCACGCTCCCGTGGGCTGCATGCCACGCCCCCAGGACGCACACCATACCCCTGAAGGTGACATGCCATGCCCCCAGGATGCGCACCAGCCACGCCCCCATGTGCTCTCCGCCCCCGGTGCTGGAGCATGCAGCTTCGCCACTGCTACCACATCATATTTGCCATCCTGAATTAAAAGCTGCAGTTATTCTGGCTTGGTTCCCATACTCTGTGCATTTGTGTAGAGACAACTGAAACCACGAGTCCTTCCCTCCAGCTGCTTCCTTCTTGTACTTTCTTGCCCTTTAGCAGGTTTCTGGAACATCACCTCAGTTTGCTGAGCATCAATGTAGCTATTATCCCCAGTACCATGCGTTCTTCTGTCGTCTGTAATGTTGTCTCCTTCCCCCTAAAGTTCTAGTTTAAAGCTCTCCTGACCACCTTCATGAGACTCTTAGCAAACACATTCTTGCCAACCGCTGTGAGGTGAAGCCCATCTCTTGCCAAAAGTCCTTCCTCAAGGAAGTGGGGACCATGATCGAAGAAACAAAATGCTTCCTGACAACACTACCTGTGCAGTCAGTGGTTTATCTCCAGGATTTCCCTCTCTCTTCCTGGGCCACGACCTTCAACAGGAAGGAGTGATGAAAAGACCACCTGTGCCCCAAGGCTCTTCAGCTCCATGCGCAGACTCCCATAGTCCCTTGCTATACGTTAAAGGCTGTGCGTGGCAGTATCATTTGTACCCACATGAATCTGAAGGAAGCGGGAGTGGTCAGTGGGCTTGATAACACTTGGCAACTTCTCCGCCACATTGTCAATCTTTGCACCTGGAAGACAGCACACCTCCTGGGACATTCTGTTTCCTCTGCACACTGCTGCCTCTGTTCCCCTCAGTTGGGAGACACCTATCACCACCACTCGTCTCCTCCTCTGGGGAGGGCCAGGAATCATTCGATGTGCTGTGCCTTCCAAAGCCTGCTTGGAGTGCTCTAAGTCTGCACTTGCTGCTCTTGAGTCTTCCCTTCTTGTCTATTGGAGCTTATTTTGATATCATGGGGATAAGTTACAAAGGCAGGAACCGTATGGTCTGAGACTTCCTACAACTTCCTCTTAGCTGGCCATCTCCAGAGTACAATTCTCTTTTTCCAACATCGTCTCCATGGAAGATAGTAACAAACTCCAAAGGAAAATTCAGGTGACTATGTTTAAAAATGTGTAGGGAGCATTTGTGAAGATGAATGGTCAACCAGGAAGGGTGAACTGATCACCCTTTTCTCACCCCTGGGCTGCTCTTCCACCTTCCATGATGACATTCTAATATTCTCCTCGCCCCTTCCTCACATTCTGCAGGGTTACCATAGAGACAGCAGGAAACAACTTTGCACCATCACTATTCCGTTGCCCACTTCTTACCAGACGTCATTCAGTAAGCAGTGTGAGGCGTGCTCTCAAATTAGATAATTGTGGTTTTTGTGTCAGCATTCCTATCAACATGGCAGGTAGGAAATTGTGCTATCTAGATGCTCTCCTGATCTTCTTCATTGTCCCATGAAGCAGACAGAGAAGCCAGCTGAGAAGGTAAGGATTTATAGCCGGGGAATGGATGAAATCTTTGGAGAAAAGCAGATTCCCTTAAAAAGCCACCGGGCACCCTCCACCCATTAGTCAAGGTCCCAGTACCCCCCATGGGGTTTAGATAAGCCATGACTAAGGCCCATTCAATGGCCTTCAGTGGGACTTAGTCTTGAATGTATCTTTCACTAGATGTGCCTCAGATAAAGTCTGAGGCTCTTTCAAGATCACATATTTATTTTTGGTACTACATTGCGCTTGTCCAAAGCAGCTTACGAACCAAGAGTTTCCAGGGAACAACAACACAAAACATCAGCTTGGGAGGAAAAACAGTAGATAAATAAGTAAATATTCATAAAAGATCCACATTGATCCAGCACCAAAAGCTGTTTGGTTAGATTCTGCTCTTGTTTGAGAGCCTGAGACAGTAATTGTTCTTTAGAGGAATGATGATTTTTGTTGCTGTTGTAACCCCTATCTCAACAAATTATAGAAACAGATGAGTTTAACAGGTTTAGTCAGGGCTTGTGAGTTCAGTAGATGTCCAGATTAACCCGGTCAAATTTGGGGGATGCCAACCAGGGGAAGAGCGTATGGTAGGGCTTGTTGCCACTCAGACTTGTCATGTCAGTTACTCTTCCCCAACGGACATTTTTTCTATCCTGGCACCTTCAGTTCTGGCCAGCTGCCTTTTGCATCATAACATTCTCTGGCCAGTTTGAATCTTGGAGGTCACCGTGGTGACAGCAGGAAACAGGCTCATATGACGCCAGTTCCAGGGGCTCCCAGGGTGGGATGCTGCCCTGAAGTAACACTGTGCGCGGGTGCATTTGAGGACCACAGGGTGGGGGGTGGGAATCACCCTCATGCTTACCATGAAAAGAAGGGGAATACCAGAGCATCTTGACAGACAGAATCTGTTATGGCAACAGCAGCAGGGCAGGGCTATTCATCCATGGAAGAGACAAGAAGAGGGAGAAGATGGGGGGAAGATTCTTCCCCATGGGATCAACCGGACACTAGGGCATAATCCAATAGCAGGAGGACCTCCCACAAGCCACTGTTGTATCTATACTGTGTACCTCTTCCTCTTCCCTGGAAGGGTCAGGATGGGGAGGCAGTCTCCACCATTCCTGCTCCTGACACCTGGAAAAGGTTGAGAAAGGAACCACCAAAATTATCAAGGGTTCAGAGTAACTCCCTTATATGGAAATATTGGGATCTTTTAGGTTAGAAGGAAGGATGCTATCTGTCAGCCCTGGTAGTTGTATTAATTCTAGAACCATTAGCAATCAAGTTATGCAATGCCCTCTCTGGTACAAGAGTGGTTGCAAACGGAAATGAACAAAATTCAGGCCTCTTTGCAGAGGATATAATTTTATGCACCTCTGACCCTATCACAGCAGGCAAAATACTATGTACAGAATTGGAACAGTTCTCTGGGGTCTCAGGACTGCAAGATACTCTCTGCTGCTGCCCACCTTGGTGCTTGGCAAATGTGCTGTTGTACTCCTGGTGCAACCTTTTAAAAGGCACTGTAAAACGAAAGCATCTTGGCTTGCTCTGCCATTGACTCTTAGCTGCATTTTAAATTTGTTATTCCTTGCAAATTCAAGCTTAAATGGTTTGCCTTGCATACTGTGCATTAGCTTGTTTTGATTGCATTTGTGCTCAAGATACCAGGATACAACCTCAACTCTGTTAATGATGATAAAATCAGGGCGCTCAGGTGGCAGTGGTGTGGGGGTGAAACCCCCCACCTAATATATACTTTCCACCATTTTGGGCATCCATACTTTTTTCTCATTTCTTGCAGCGCACAAACGGACATGCCCACCCTGACCCCTTGGTCTGAGAAGGCCCATCATCTGAGAAGGAACAGTCAGGAAGATGGTCTTGAACAACTACGACAAGCAGCAGAAAACCAAGGTGTTATCCCCCTGAGTACTGCTTGGATTATAAAATTGGCATTCCCAATTTTATAAGCGAGATAAGAAATGTCAAGTTATCCTGGATGCCAAAAGAATATGAAAATAACTTATGACTCCGCGGCCCTATTGAAAATCACACCAGCAACTAAACTGATGGCAGAACTGTTTGATCATTTAAGCACAGACTCTTGTTCTTTGCAGGAAGGAGAGCAAACTTTACCAACCCTTTATCCCTGACAAAATGTTTACTGTGGTGTTGCATAGCTGTGCCGGAGATTTTTTAAGAAGCAAGTTCTTTCCGTGTGCACCTAGAAAGAGACATCCTTCCCTCTGTGTCAAAGCTGAGAGGTTTCCTGGAGGTGTTACTTCAGAGGGCTGGGTGTCTGGCAATATGGAGGGCAAAGGTGGCGGGTCAGGTAGGGTGGAACCCCTGCCACCAATGCTGGGCAGGGGTCTCCAGTGGGTGGGGAGGGAAAGGTGAGAGAGGGGTGCCCACCCATATGGATGCGAGTCAGATGTTAATGGCTTGGGGTAATCCACATGGGTGAGCAGGGAGAGGGGTGCCAGCCTCTGCCCAAATTGGGCTTATGGTTTCGGGAGGGAGGGGGGCTGGGGAGGGGGCATCAGCCGAAAGAAGCTTTTGGAGTGTTTTTTAGGCCTTTCCTCCAGGGTTATTTTGTTCCCTCGGATGCCCCCTTTCTCCACTTTTGGGGCTTCCTTCTTGGGCTTCTTTGGGGTTCTCTTTTTGGGGTTAGGTATGCCTATCCCTTTTATGGCCAGGTCTCCCTATCTTGCTTCCCACGGGTGGGTGGGCTTTGTTGGATTCCTTTAGGGATAGGTTCCAGGGTCTTCCTCCATCTCAGGCGTTCACCCAAGTCTGGAAGAAAAGAAATGGAGGTACAATCATTGTTTTCAATGCAGCTAGTTTGTCCATAATGGAGAATCTTCATTTATTCCAACGTACTATATCCATATTTAGAGCTTTCAAAACCGTACTATAATTAAACTGATACAACTTGTTCAACTTCGGGGTAATTTATACCACCAGATATCTAAGACTTTTCCTAGCTATTGGATGATGAATGAGGAAGTGGGGGGGCACATTCACACAGGACAATGCCATTATCCAAGAGGATGGGATCTATAGCCTCTCTCTGTAAATTTTGAAATAAAAAATTACTGTAAGTAACTTTTCCTTGCCTTTATCATTTCATGGGCTGGGAGCCGCTGACAGCACCCTGATACCAGGTCTCAAAGACCTGTTTTGAGGTAGAGAGGCCGGGACTGTGTACTCTGCAGTGTGCCAAATGTGGCTGCACCATCAACTGGGAGGACAGCATCGAGATACTGGAACTCACACCATCCTATAAGGAGATACCCAATGCGCACCCACAATGCAGAGCCACGTGGCAATGGTACTAGGCTTGATAGCTACTGAGGTTAGGCTAATCCCCTGACCCAGAGACCCAGGAAAAAGCGAATGATTCCTTTACAAAGATGAGCACAGACCTTGTGAGGTTGGAATGTACCCAGTGGCTAGAGTAGGTCCCAGGGTGGTTTGGGGCTCTACCTGCTGGAGGGCCAGAAGCATTTCCTTGTTTGTGGCTGATGGCATAGGGACAGGGCTCCCAGTCTGCACAGTGGGGCTCCTCTGTTCCCGTGGAATGGGGGCTAAGCTACCTTGACGGCAGAGGCCCACCCTGTCCTAGAAGGAGGCTGAGTGGATGGGTCCAAGCCCAGGAGGCTGCACCTGGACCAGGTGGAGGTGAGGTGCTCTATATAATTATCAGTTTATTTGAGCATCTCTCACCCTTTCGTTCTCAAAGCCCAAATCACTTTCTGCTGCTGCTGTTGCTACTACTCAGGTTTAGCATTGTTGATCCACGTTATTACAATATAATTAGGGTTTCTCAGCTGTGCATCAAGAATCAATGTTTTAGATTTCTAATGATAGCATTTTATTAGTTTTCCATGCTGTTAACCTCATCCCTCCCCCATAATGCTTGATTACATTCTGCTAAAAAAAGGAAATCTGTTTGCCATATCCCTGAAGACTCATCCTTCAATGCTAGGTTTTCTGTGTGCTGGATTATCACCAGAATGGGGTGTCAGTCTGTAGGGGGTTTTGTTTGTTTGCTTTTTAAATGCATAATCCTGATCTGGCCCCATTTGGACAGAGCTGACTTGGCAACTGTACTGCATGCTCTGGTAACTTTCAGGCTCGATTGCTGCAATGCACTTTCTGTGGGGTGCCCTTGAAGATGACTCGGAAACTTCAGCTGGTCTAAAATGCAGCAGCCAGATTATTGGCTGGGGTTCTGCTTACATCTCTAGATCTGTTTGGAACAGCTCCACTGGTCACCATTTTGTTTTCAGGGCCAATTCAAGGTGCTCACTTAGCATTTAAAGCACTGAATGACCGCAAATACCTGGAAAGCTTCCTGCTGCCCTTGGGTACAAAGACAAGCACAAGGAGACCTCTGGGCTGTTCCTTCACCTTCAGAAGCTTGGGGGTTGGTGGCCCAGGAGAAGGTCTTCTCTGTGGCAGTGAAATTATGGAACACCTGCCCCACAGAGTTGTGCCTGGCCCCTTCACTGTAGAGCTTGCGGTGAATGCTGAAGATGAGCCTCATTACCCTGGCCTTTTGCAACTTGAGATATTTTTTAGGATATCTGTCATTGTGAGTTGTTTCAAACCATTTTTAATATTGTGCTCTAATAATGCAAACCGCCCTAGGACCTTAGGGTGAAAGGCAGCTAATTCATTCTAATCATAATGTGAGTTTGCATGGTGGCGGCAGCGGAGGGTTAATCAGCATGATGATGCCCGAGTCCCTTCTAATCCCTGGGGTCATGGATCCAGCAAGGGTTAAAATCTAATGGAGGATTCCATAGCCAAGCTATGCATTCCATGCAAGTCTCTCTGCGAACTAGTGGCTGTAGTTCCTTCTTAACTACTGTTTTTAGTATAATTGGTTTCGTGCCAAAGGGCAAACCCTTCCTTGGCTGCTAGTGAGAAGGGCAACAGCCTATGTGTGTGTGTGTGTGTGTGTGTGTGTGTGTGTGTGTTAGAAGCAGGAAGAAGCCAAAGAGTGACAGCAATGCAGGATTTCCAATGGAATCCAAGGCCATGACTATGGGAGGAGCAAGAGCTTCTCAGGTGTTGATGATGTGAGCCCCTCGGGCTCAGGATGTATAATAATAATAATAATAATAATAATAATAATAATAATAATAATAATAATAATTTATTATTTATACCCCACACATCTGGCTGGGTTTCCCCAGCCACTCTGGGCAGCTTCCAACAAAGTATTAAAATACAGTAGTCTGTTAAACATTAAAAGCTTCCCTAAAGAGGGCTGCCTTCAGATGTCTTCTAAAAGTCTGGTGGTTGTTCTTCTCTTTGACATCTGGTGGGAGGGCATTCCACAGGGTGGGTGCCACTACCGAGAAGGCCCTCTGCCTGGTTCCCTGTAACTTGGCTTCTCGCAGGGAGGGAACCACCAGAAGGCAGTGTAAATGAACATGTGTTCATTTATGTGTATATGTGTAAATGAACCATATATCCTAAAGGCACATCACAGCCCCTGCTGTCCCTCATTCCAAGGAAACTGGACCCTGCCTGGAATCATGCCTGGAATCTTCCACTGCTTGGAAAGTGGGGTAGTGCTCCGCAATAGCAGCAGCAACAATAAAAACAATTTCCCCACCCCCAGGCAAAAACCCAACCCAACTAATATCCCTGTGGCACCGTTACACAGACATCTTCCTCCAGGATGCAACTCCCAGCACAAACACATAAGATTTTGATAAAATAAGGATTTGCATTTATTATCTCAGGATCATTTGCAACCAAATAAATTAACAAAACAATCACCTTTGGCTGAGTGGAAGGGCTTCCATTTTCGCAGCAAAAAGAAATACACAAAGGAAGAAACAGGATACAAATGGGAATCGCAATCAGGCTGTGTTGGGGAGTACCGCAATGATGGTTGTGGGGAGCAAGAGAGTTTACCTCTCAGGCAGCAGTGGTACTAACTGTGAGCCAGTGTGGTGTAGTGGTTAAGAGCGGTGGACTCGTAATCTGGTGAACCGGGTTCGCTTCCCCGCTCCTCCACATGCAGTTGCTGGGTGACCTTGGGCTAGTCACACTTCTTTGAAGTCTCTCAGCCCCACTCACCTCACAGGGTGTTTGTTGTGGGGGAGGAAGGGAAAGGAGATTGTAGGCCGCTTTGAGACTCCTTTGGGTAGTGATAAAGCAGGAAAGCAAATCCAAACTCTTCTTCTTCTAACACAGATATTCTCAGCAGTTGACTCTGTGGCTGCCATGTTACTTAACCACAGTGCACCAACAGGGCATCATTCCACGAGGTTGTGTGCGGGGACATGACATAGCAACTGCCGCAAAAAGTGGTAGGCCATGGGAGATGCCACCTTTACGGCCTTCCACAATGCCCCAGAACAACTCCCTGTCCGGAACCCCGTAAGACAGCACCTGCCGGCGAGGGAAAGATGTTGTAGCAATTGGGACCACCATGGGCAGCAGCAAAAACAAGATTTAAGGTGGGAAAATGATATACGTGAAGAAGAGAACAAATGTAGCAAAATGAGGGAGCTTTCAACCACTGGACGGCAGCTAAGGAAACATGTTTCTTTGTTTTTAAAAACAAACGACAACATGAACCTGTTCTTTGGTAGCAAAAAAACCCCAAATTGGCATTAATAAAGTGAGACCCCCCTCACATTGCCCCCATTGAGGTTTATGTTGTCTGTACAGTGATCCTCATTTGGGGGGAAAACAAAACTGAACAATTATGAAGGCAAGATTTAGACCATCATTCAAGAATCTTTGTTTAAAAACACACACGTTCTGACATTCTCAGTGACACTTCTGCATTTGCACCAGCTTTCCTGCAACCTCCTGGCCTCGGTGACGCCACCCCTCCCCCATTTACTGCTACCCTCCTGACCCCTTGGTGGTTCCAACTCTCCCTTCTTTGCACATCCAAGGAATACAACGACCATCTTGCCAACCTCTCTGATGTCACCATGCCACTGTGGAGGCATCCTAGCTTGGCACGTATCTGTGTGCTGCTTCCACAAATGTTCCCAACATCAACAGAATTTCCTGAGAACAAAAGATCAGCAACCAAATCAACAACCTGTTTGCAAAAGGCTCTTCCGACATCTGGTTCCTATAAGCCTTCCAAGGAATCTATAGAGAAGAGCTGAGAGAGCAACACAGTTTAGTGAACTAAAATATTTTGGCAAAGTTTGTTCTCCTTCCTGCAGAGGACGAGAGTTGAAATGCTCAAACGGTTCTGCGACCGAAACAGTTCGTCGACCCCTGCCAGTGTGATTTGAGGAGGGCCGCGGAGTCATAAGTTACTTCTAACTTCACCATATTCTTTGGGCATCCAGGATAACTTGACATTTCTTATGGCGCTGGGGATGCCAATTTTATAATCCCAGCAGTACTCAGGGGATAACACCTTGGTTGGTTTGTTGAGGAGGTAATATTTGTTCAGGTGGCTTTCGTCATGCCACACCGCCTCAAAGTTGTGTTCCTTGTCCTCCTTGATGCCTTGATAGCATTGACGGGTGAGGTTCAGAACACGCAGTGGGGTCCCCCCAAATATGGCCCCATGGTAATAGTAGTCCCCTTCCCCATAGGGGATGTACGCAGCCGACTCAGGACGCCTCTCATAAGTGAACGCAGTATTGTCTGCATTGTAAAACCAAGCATGGAGCTGGGCCACAGACTCATCAAGGGTCTCCACCCCATAGTCACTCTGGAAGACCTGGTCAACATCCATGCAGAAGAGGAAGTCCACCTCGTGGCGGATGTGGCTCTCGATTAGGTCCCCAATCACCTTCATCCGCATCATGCTGATGTCTTGCCACCGGCTCTCCCTTTTCACCTGGAAGACTTTCAGCACCCGCAGGGGGCCCAGCTCAATAAGAGGCACTTTGGTGAGGTCGTCCACCATGATGTAGAAGATCACATTGTGCCCAGTCATGAAGAAAGCGTTTGCAGAAGTCAAGAAGTTCTTCAAGTATTTGTCTAGGTACCTGGGGAATGGAGAGGGACAAATGGAGACAGGTGGGTTCTGGGCAGATCTCTTAACCCAGGGTCCCAGAAGCTGACTTTAAAGCAGGGTGAGGGTTCCAGTGCTCAACTTTGTACTGAGACCAACATTGTTTTTCAGATGTGAATCAGCACCCAATTAAGAGCAGAAGAAGAACCCTTGGTCACCTCCGTTGCCCTTCCTCTGGGCAAACCCACCATAAGAACACCAGAAGAGTCTGCTGGATCTAGGCCAGCATTATGTTCTCACAGTGGCCAACCAGATAACTCAATGAGCATTCTCTCTCCAATTACCATCAAGGAATTAAGAAGCATTTACCACCTCTGACCTTAGAGGCAGAGAATAGTCATTGTGGCTAGTAGCTTTTGCCAGCCTTCTCCTCCATGAATTTGTCTGATCTTCTTTTAAAGCCATTGGCCTGATCCAGTAGACTCTTCTTATGGCGGGTTTGCCCAGAGGAAGGGCAACGAAGGCAACCAAGGGTCATTGTGACTCAGAATATGACAAATACCTGAAAGACTGCCTCCTTCCTGACAGACCTTCTCTGGTGCTACAATTGGCAGATAGGGCCCTCTTGGTTGCTCCACCACCCTCAGAAGCTTGGTGCGTGTGTGTTGCAGGCTAGGAATGGGTCTTCTCTGTGGCAGCCCTTACCCTGTGGAAACCTTTCTCCAGAGAGGAGTGCCTGGCACCTTCATTGCCCAGCTTCTGATGAATGCTGAAGATGCACATTTCAAAGGTAAGGGGGTGCACTTTTTAGGACCCGCCTTACAGCTGCAATCTTAAGTTATTCTGCACTTCTTTTGTGTTGTAATTGTTGAAACCTGCCCTGGGTCCTTAAGGCAAAGGACGGTTAATAAATAAAATACGTGGCCGGACAATGGATGTTGCTTTGCACATCCAGCCAGGAAAAGTCTGGCAAGCAAGCAGCACGCTCCAGTCCTGATCCATATTTTACTTGTGAGCTAGTGCCACTGAACACAAGGAGACTTACTCAAGAGTAACGTGCATCAGATTGGGCTACAAGTGAACTTACCTCCCAATAGCGAAAACCGTCAGGCCAATGGTGACTTTCTGCTGCTTATAGTAGTTGTCCAAGACCGGTCTCCCAACTGTTCCATCCCAGATGATGGGCGCCGACCAAGGGGTCAGGGTGGGCATGTCCGTTCGTGCGCTGCAAGAAATGAGAAAAAAGCATGGATGCCCAAAATGGTGAAAAGTATATATTAGGTTGGGGGTTTCACCCCCTCACCACTGCCACCTGAGGGCCCTGACTTTATCATCATTAACAGAGTCAAGGTTGTATCCTGGTATCTTGAACACAAATGCAATCAAAACAGCTAATGCACAGTATGCAAGGCAAGCTATTTAAGCTTGAATTTGCAAGGCGTAACAAATAAAAAAATGCAGCTAAGAGTCAATAGCAGAGCAAGCCAATATGCTTTTGTTTGTTTTACAGTGCTTTTTAAAAGGTTGCACCAGGAGTACAACAGCACGTTGAAGCAGGAGTACAATAGCATGTTTGTCTGGCAACAAGGAGGGCAGCAGCAGCAGAAGCATCAGGAAAACCAGTCCAGGGAGAGTATTCCAGGAAAAGGCTGTAATTCAGCGACAGAGCACCTGCTTTGCATGCAGAAGGTCATGGGTTCAAGAGAGGGCATCACTAGGCAGGGTCAGCCTCTGAATTGGAAGGTATTTTGATTCTAGGGCCCTGACCTGGTTACCAGCTGACAGGCAGGTCCATCTAGCCAGGAGGCTTCATGGCTCCAGAATCCCCAAAGACCCTGAAGAAAAAAAGCATTTTTGCCAGCCAGATGATAGCTCCCTTATAGATTGTGCATTGTTTTCAATTTTCTGGTTTTTAATTGATTTTGTCCGTTTGCATTCTATCTCAATGCAAGTTGCTTTGAGACCCTTCCCCGCCCCCCCCCTTTGGGTATAATGTAATTAACAGACGTAACAAATAATAATAGTCTGTGCAAAGCTTTTGTTGTAATAAATGCGCTAGACCTCAAGGTTCTCTTTATTGTGTGACAGACTGGTAGGAATGGATGCATCTCTTAGACTCAGTTTCTCATTTTTCCATTTTTACTTATGCCCTCAGTCTTAAATTCAGCTCACCTCATTTCCACATCAATTTGCATTAAAAAATATAAGTAAAAAGTACATGAAACTTTGTAGATTTCTCTATGCGAATTTTGTTTGCAAACAATTCTCTGTAAGATGTTTTTGTACATGATTCTCACTAATATACACATCTGTGCATGTGGTTCTTAATAGATGCCTTTTGTACACCTTTTTGGCTGGAGAACTGCACTGGGGGGGGGGAGCAGAACTACAAATTTCAAAGGATAGCTGCATTTGTATTTGTTTCTTGGTTCATGAAGCTGACATCTGTAGCATGCCTTAAAATGCATATACATTGAAACATATGCTGAACAGATTTCTTCCTCCTGCTCCATCCCTGTTCACAGGCTTGGAGCTCAGCTGGAACAAGAACAACACAAAACACTGTAAATTAATAAGCAACCACATGATGGAAAGTGTCTGGGTTTGCTAAAGTTAGTCAGCTTAGCCATCCAGACACCTAGACCTACATCCTGTCCTCCCAGTGGCCAACCAGGTCCGCCAATGGGAAGCCTGCAAACAGACCTTGAGGGCAATCATGTTTTCCTTGCTTTGGATTACCAGCAATTAGCATTCAAAGGCACCCTGCCTCTAACACTGGAGGTACAGGATGAAGCCATCATGGCTAGCAGAATTTCGGTTGGCTAAGTAGGAACTGAAGTGCTTGTGGAGCATTTTCTGTTTGCTTGGAAGCATGCTAAATGGAACCAGATGTTGTGCAAATATTTTGGATTATTATTATTATTATATAAAACAAAGCTGTTTCCCGGCTACACTTGCCTAAAGTTAATTTTAGCAGGCTATTTCCAGCCTTGCTTGTTTTCCAGTGGAAGCATACAAGCACACACACACACACACAGAGAGAGAGAGAGAGAGAGAGAGAGAGAGAGAAGGGGGGAGAGAGAGAGAGAGAGAGAGAGAGAGAGAGAGAGAGACTCTGGCCAGCTCTAAACAAAAATGCTTTAAAGCTGGAATCTGAGCCAGCTTTCCTGAGTTCATGCTGGTTCTATGAACAAGAGAGCACATTTCTGGAACACCTGTGCCTAGGATAAAATGGTGCCAGTGGCTTTTTGTACATGGTGTCTATTTATTAACTAATACACTTACTATCCCACTTATTTTGATCCCACCCGAAGAGCTAGGAGGAGTTCAAAGCTTGAGAAAAACATAGCAATAACTCAGTGCTTTGGCATTTCATTCTTTCTCTGCTGAATGCTTTCTACTGGCATCCTTACTGTGAAATTTAATTTCTCCCAGGGCAGATGCAAATGGGCAGAGGCCCAATTCTGTGCCCTTCTTGCCATGGCTGAAGGCAGGGTGTGATCTGTGCCGGCATCTCTTTGCTGACACTTAGACAGGAACACTCCTCCCACATATTCCAGAGGTTCTTTGGCCATTGATCAAAGATGGAAAATGGCTGCTTTTGAATCTGTGGCTCTGCTAGCTTTAGTTGTATTTTATCTGCCATATTTTACTGGACCATTAGCATATCGCAACTAAGCTATTGGCATGGATAGGTGTTCCTAGCTCTCTTCACTTGTAACCCACCTTATTAATGAATTGAGGCTGTATTTTAAAACTGCACATTAAAGGTAGAACTCAGAGTTTACAAAGATGCATCAAGTGAAGCTCCTGGTCTGCAGGAAGAGGACTTCACAGCCACCAGCTGTTGGCTTTTTGGGGTGGGGTGGGGGGGAGGACAAGGGTAGCTGCAATGATATGTTGCAGCATGCAGCTGTTCCTGTTTAGAGTGCTAACCAATCATGCCCCCTTCCAGGACACTCCTCACCAATACCCAGCCAGGGTTCGATGCCCATTGATACGTGCTCAGTCTGCATTGGGCTTCATGGGGCAGGGCAGGGGTCCTCCCTTCCTTATGTTCTCCACTTTAAATATTTTTGTATTTCTGCAAACTTTTGAGTTTCCTCTTGTGCATGGATGGTGCTGTTTTGGCTACCTGCAAACTTCTCACTTGGAGAATGGGTTTGCTGCTGTGTTAGATGGAGGGGAATAAGCAGCCACAAGTCAGTCATGCATACTGATTTCAATGGGTCTCCTCTGAGTGTTACTGGCACAGGATACAGCCTACTATCTGTGAAGAAGAAATGTCCTGCCTGCCATCAGCTGTAATAACTAAGTGCAACCACCATGCCCAGTGGCAGTGTACTCTTGAGCACCAGGTGCCAACAACGGAAGAGAATGGTTCCTTAGGGAGTGTTGCAGCTATCTTGGAGGTAATTTAGCCAACCACAGCCAAACCTTTGATCTAGTCCAGTAAGGCTGTTCTGCTGCTCTTAACTGACTGACTAAGCCTGTGTGATGCAGCAGCAGCAGCATCAAAAGAAAAGACAAGAGCAAGCTAATGCAATTCAAGACTACATCAGCAGAGGTTTAGTGTTCCAATCAGGGAAAGTGCGGTAATAATAACACTCTTTTCTGCCTTGGTCTGACCACACCTGGAGTCCTGCGTCCAGTTGTGGACACCAAAATTTAAGAATGACATTGGAACAGTCTCCCTTGGGAGGTTGCAGAGTTTCTTTCATCGGAAGTTTTTAAGCAGCCATCTCTTGTGGATGTTTTAGCTGAGATTCCTGCATGATAAGGGGTTAAACTAGATGACCCAACAAATAAATCCCCAGGACCAGATGGGATCCCTGGCGAACTTTTACGGTACAATCCAAACTGGTGGGCCCTTCTATTAGCCAATTTATTCACCTTAATTGACAAATTTGGGGGTACTACCAGATGTTTGGCTAAACTTCATCATCACTCCTATATTCAAAAAAGGTAACCCAAAGCTGCCTGAGAATTACCATCTGATAACTGCCAACCTAGCAGTTCGAAAGCACGTCAAAGTGCAAGTAGATAAATAGGTACTGCTCCGGCGGGAAGGTAAATGGTGCTTCCGTGCGCTGCTCTGGTTCACCAGAAGTGGCTTAGTCATGCTGGCCACATGACCCGGAAAAACTGTCTGCGGACAAACGCTGGCTCCCTCGGCCAGTAAAGCGAGATGAGCGCTACAACCCCAGAGTCATCTGTGACTGGACTTAACTGTCAGGGGTCCTTTACCTTTACCTTTTAAGTCTTCTATCAATCCTTGGTAAGATGTATGCCTGACACTTGGAAAAGAAATCGAAGGACTGGATGACATCTAATAAGATCCTTGGGCCTGAACAAATAGGCTTCTGCCATGGCAAATGCACCACTGATCATTGCATAATCCTTTCACATCTCGCGGAAAAATGCATGGAAAATGGGAGGAAAGAACTTGACGTGGCCTCCTAGAGTTAAAAGGAGCTTTTGACACAGTCCCCTGTGATCTACTTTGGTGTAAATTATATAAAATGGGAATTGACCAACGCCTGCTATTTCTAATTCAAAAATTACACACCGCTACACTCGATCACATCAACTGTAACCCCCAAGGCGAGTTGACAAAAAGTATAAATATTACCAAAGGAGTAAAGCAAGGATGCGTCTTGTCGCCCCACTTATTCAATCTTTTTTTAAAATGACCTGGCTTATCACTTTGAGGATGTAAATGGACATCCACGGACATTAGGCCAACATAAAATAAAACTGCTTCTATATGCAGATGATACTACAATACTTTCTCAGACCCAGGTCGGTCTTAGAAGACTTCTAAATTCGTTTTCTTCCTTCTGCCAGATCAACTCCCTGGGAATTAATTATGAAAAATCTAAAATCGTCAAACTGTCAAATGGAGGCTAGATAATCACCCCATTGACCAGGTAAAATCCTGTAAATACCTAGGGATATTCTATCAGCCAAATTTAAACTGGACAACACACAGACGCCAAATGATCAACTAAGTAAAGTGCACCACATCTGCGATTCTTCACTTTTTCTTCCTCAGAGGGCCACCATATGGTCTCTGCTGCTATAAAAAAATTTAATGCCAAGATTATTGTATGGCATTCCAATTTCTATACAAGCATTTAACAGAGAAGTTGAACAAATTCAAGCGACTTTTCTTTGTAAGATCCTTGGTGCCCCTAAATGCATAAGCTACTTAACCTTATGTGTTGAAACTGGTCAACGTCTGAGGGAAACCAATGTATGGCTTACTGCAATCAGGGCCTGGCTGAAAGTCCACTTTAGAACAACATCTAATTCCTTTTTAATCTCTACGCTTGAAAGCCATATTGCATCTGGATGGCATAGAGCAATTCAAGATAAAATCTGTAGTTTGGGCATTGCTCTTGAGAGCCTTGAAGCATGTGATGAAAATTACATATTCCACACAATCAAACAGCGGCTCTACAACCACGAAAGACAGCGTTTGTTACCTCATACTCTGAGATCCTGTTCTCTGCAGGCCTTAGGGATCACAACACACTACGGAACCTGTGCCAAATATCTAATGGACCTATTACTCCCTTCCCATCGAAGAGTCTTTATGCTTGCGAGACTAAATGACTTCCCCTCTGCAGTGACCACAGGTAGATTCTCACATATTCCATATCAAGCCCTGTGTGCCTGCAACCAAGGAGGACCTCATTCAATCTCTTGGATTGCTCTTTACACAGTAGACCTCACCAACTGATGCTGAGCAGAATGTTGGGCTTCTGACCTATAACTCTGAAAAGAAGTCAATTGAGGTCTCTCCTGGCACATCGGGACAAAGGTATTACTGTTTTAGTAGCTTCCTTTTTAGCCTCAATTTTACCTGAAAGGGTTCCCAACAAACCATCCTTTTGGGAAACAGACAGGGTGAAGCGGAATACCTAAGTGCACACGATCACAATGTGACTTTATGATCCTCACAGCTTCACCCTTGCCCCTTTTAATTATCCCAGTGACCTGAAATGCTTTATACTGTGATGCCAATAAAGGTATTTGATTTGATTTGACTAGATGACCCTCGGGGTCACTTTCAACTCTACAACTCTACAATTCTATGATTTTATAACAAGCTGGAATGTGTGCAGAGGAGGATGACAAAGATGATCAAGGGTCTCGAAACCAAGCCTTATGAGGAATGGTTGAGGGAATTAGGGATGTTTAGAGGAGATTGAAAGGAGATACAATAGCAGGCTTCAAATATCTAAAGGGCTGTAACATGGAAAATGGAACAATATGGTTTTCTCCTGCTCCAGAGGGTAGGACCCAAACCAATGGCTTCAAGTTACAAGAATGGAGGTTCTGACTAAAGATCAGGAAGAACTTTGTATTTGACAATGGATCAGACTCCTACAAGAAGTGATGGACTCTCCTTCACTGGAGGTTTTCAAGCAAAGGTTGGATGGCCATCTGTCAGGGATTCTTTAGTTGAGATTCCAGCATTGCAGGGGGTTGGACTAGATGACCCTCAGGTTGCCTTCCAACTCTACCATTCTATGGTTTTAATATTATAAAGGAAAAGCCAAATCAAAAGCATTTTGTGTGTGTAATAACCTGAACTTCCTCTTGGCTAAACAACACTATTTACCCACCGTCTGAACCATTTCCTGAGACGAGCTTCTAATGCAAGAACTTGAGCAAGGACAATTGAAGTCACAGGCTCAAGCAGATGACTGTTCTTGGGCGGGGTTCCCTTCTTTTTTTTGAGTTGTAAGAGATTGTGGAGTGAGTCTTAGGTGCGCATGGTGGTGACTTTTTTTGTGTCCCAGTGCCCTTTTTGAACTTCCTTAAACTGTAACTGGGGGAGATGTGTTTGTCTATTTCAATTTTGCCCACTTTCTGATAGTTGCCAACTTCATTTCTCTACAATTCTACATTAGCTTTAGGTTATATTAGTTTCACTCATGGAAATTTGTCAGTAGCTTACAGCAACATTTTTCCTAATATGCACTTTTTGGAGAGCAAGCGCCTCCTAATATTATGCCTTGTTTATATTACTGTCCACCAACACAAGCAATTTTGCACACATTATTTGGCTGGAGAACTGCACCCAAAATTCAGAGAAGTGTGAATTTCAAGGGATAACTGTGTACTGATGAACAGTACACACAAGTTACAGGTAGGTAGCCGTGCTGGTCTGCCGTGGTCAAAACAAAATAAAAAAATTCCTTCCAGTAGCACCTTAGAAACCAACTAAGTTTGTTATTGGTATGAGCTTTCGGAAGTGTGCATGCACACGAAAGCTCATACCAATAACATATTTAGTTGGTCTCTAAGGTGCTCCTGGAAGGAATTTTTTTGTTTTGTTTCGAGTACACATAAGAGCTTTCTCCATTGTTCTGTGGCTGTGTCTTGTGAAAACCCGATCTTGCCCACTAGAGAAATGAAACTTGCTTAAGCAAAATCTCGCTTCTGATTTTCTGCACATCTGATAACTTTATTAATTTATCATTTATTTTGTAAAATGTATACACCATCTGAGTGCAAACAAAACAAAACCCCTCAAAGGTTTACGAAAAGCATGAAGCATTAGCATTACCAATAAGAAAGATGAACAGCATTAACTAAAAACTTTTGAAAAGTTAAAATAACAATAGACTGAAAACACACTAAAACTCACATCAACTTCCTTAACATGTGAGTAGGCTTGCCTAAACAAAATTGTTTTTAGCAGGTGCTGAAAAGCGTACAGTGAAGGTGAATGTCTGAAATCAATACGGCAGAAAAGATAACATAAGATAAAATCCCATTCAGCAGGTAAGATGGGATTTTTGCAAGGCTGAGCTGCAGAACAAGAAAAGCTCTCAGCTTTGCCTGAGGGCAAATATTTGGTACACAAGCCCATCAAAATACGGGTCAAGAGAAACTGTGGATGAGCCCTTACTTCACATACTGGTTTGCCAAGTGCAAATTAAGCTGAACAGGAAGGATCCCTCCCAAAAGTTATCTGCAACCCAGAATAAACTGGAGGTAGAGAAGACTTCATATAGGGGGAGGTGAGGAAGTCCAGGAATAGTTGCTGGATTGCCTCAAACTTTCTTAGAGACAGCCCAAAGCTATAGTAAGCCCTAAATCATAGAATTGTAGAGTTGGAAGGGAACCCCAGGGGTCATCTACTCCAACCCTCTGCAATGCAGGAATCACATAGTTCTGCTTACTCTCTAATCAACACATCTTGAGGTTTAGGGCACATAATAGAAATAGATTGCTGTGGTGGTGGTGGTGGTTGTTTTTATTATTCTGCTTTTGAGCCCAAAGACTCCTACCCCTCAACTAGCAGAAAGTAAAGGTATAGGGACCCCTGACCAGTCCAGTCGTGGCCAACTCTGGGGTTGCGGCGCTCATCTCGCTTTACTTGCCGAGGGAGCCGGCGTTTGTCCGCAGACAGCTTCCGGGTCATGTGGCCAGCATGACTAAGCCGCTTCTAGCGAACCAGAGCAGCGCACGGAAACACCGCTTACCTTCCCGCTGGAGCGGTACCTATTTATCTACTTGCACTTTGACGTGCTTTCTGACTGCTAGGTGGGCAGGAGCAGGGACCGAGCAACAGGAGCTCACCCCGTCGCGGGGATTCAAACCGCCAACCTTCTGATCGGCAAGTCCTAGGCTCTGTGGTTTAACCCACAGCGCCAAATAAAAGGGCTCTAACTACCCCCAACATCCTCACACTTAGGGACGAGTAACCAGGATGGACAATGAGTTCAGAATTCTCTACATCAGCCTCTGGAATTCTATGTCTCAGGCGGATGCAATGGTATTGGCCACAGGTGGCAACATAAATCCACAGTGAATACCTATCAACAACTATTTTTGATAATGCTGGTCCTGGGAATGGATCCTCCAGAACACAGAGGCAGTCTACCCTCGTTCCAGCTGCTGCCTGCCTGAATCCATATATTGTGCAGGCTCCGTTCTGCCCCTCAGAAGCTGCATGCAATCATTAACAATACTCTTCCAAATTTATTTAATTGCATGATTCCAGCAACCCTTACAATAACTCTGCAAGGGTGACCTATGTCATTATCCCCATTCTGCAGATGCAGGGGTGAGTGGTCAAAGCGGTACGGGAATTATGCCTTGACAAAAGTCAGAGGATGAATTTCAGGGGTGTGGTGAGGAATGTGAATAGCTCATTCTCCAGATTTCACAGTAATAGCGTAAGTCCTGTGTTGCAAGCCAGTGCCGTTGTGGGTAAAAGGCTTTGATTGCACCAAGACCTTTCTCTTCTCATTCCACCACTTCCCTTAGCCTCCTTGCCCCCACAAAAAAAAAAAAAAGGTTTTCTCTCCTTACCGTGAATCAAACCAGCTGTCCAATGACAACCCCTTTGGTTCTTTATTCGCAAATTCGTATCTGTAAGTAGATAAAAAGAAACTGAGAAGCCCTGGAAGCTTGAGATTTTCTGAAGCCACTGCTGTTCTACAGCTGACCGGAAGCAGAATTAAATGGCCATCCCTACATGGCACTTAGGAAAGAGCTGTATTATTTGGCAAATTATATTTCCCCATGCCAAGATCCTCCACAGTCCCATTCAACAAAGATTCCACTACTCCATGTAACTGTACCTTTGATTAGTAGCTTCCGGCTTCTCAATCAAGCCATAGCCACCCTTTTTGCAGCCAGAACAGCAGCTGTTTTGTTATCTAATCTATTTATCTGTGGTAAATGAATTAGATGAAAAGGACAGGACTAAAGGACTCCCTTAGGAACAGCAGGACTGACCAAGAGTACTGTACACAGTGTTGCAGGAATTTATGTATAGGTTGGGGGGGGGGTTGCTCCTCCAGCAGATATCATGCACATGCAGCCTGCTACCAAGATCAGCACAATCACTTGTGATTTGTTCCCACAAAACACTTCATCACAGTTTCTTCCTGCCTATTCAAAGGGCCTCTGCTGCACACTACCAAATGTAACAATGCACTGATAAATGTATCTATGTACTTGCTCCCTGGGAAAACTTCAGAAATTCATATAGACACGTGAGCTCAGCTATTCAGCAGCCCCTCTGCTTGAGTGATAATTCCTGGCATCCTGATACCTGAGTGCCAGACAGGTAACGATTCCAGAAATAACTAACCCAGATGAAGACAAAAGGGTGTGATGAACTTGGCTGGGAAACAGCGAAATGTAAATATCTCTTTTGTTACACTTGATGGGTGTTTGGTGGAGGGCAAGGGGAACCATGGGGCAGGGTCCAGGATGCTCAGATTACTGCCACCAGACCTCCCCTTTCATGATGTAACCATGATGTATGAGTGATGTAGTTTGGGGGGGGGTGTAACATTGGGATTAGCATCTAATAAAAGTTTGGGTTCTCTTTTGTTCGGGCTTCTAACTTGTTCCACCTTGTGGCAAGTGGGAGTCCTGTCGCGATAGTCTTCAATAAAGACCAAGCCTACTGGCTGCTGTTTTGCTCTGGTATTCCTGGCTGGTGTCCCTGTTTTTTTGTCCAAGGGAGGCCTAAGATTTCTCCATTAACAGGAAGCAGGTAACTAGCCTCTTGAAAACAAAAGGCAGGGACTAAAGGTAAGAACTAATTATATGGGCTGTGGGACCAAAGCATCAATAGAGCCTTGTCAGTCTACACTGAACAAGCTCGGGCTACATCTGCATTAAATAAAAAGGGCCTCAGAATAGCCTTTTTAGAACTATAGACCAGGCTTCCTCAACCTCAGCCCTCCAGATGTTTTGAGACTACAATTCCCATCATCCCTGACCATTGGTCCTGGTAGCTAGGAATAATGGGAATTGTAGGCCAAAAACATCTGGAGGGCCAAGGTTGAGGAAACCTGCCACAGATATACTTACTTACTTACTTACTTGCTTACTTACTTACTTATTAAATTTGTATACCACCCGTCATTTGCAGAACTCAGGGCAGTTCACAATATAAAAATACAATATAAGCACAAAATATATGATAAAAACAAAAAACAAACACATAAATCAACAACCCCACCTCGCCTGCACTGCCTCCCACAAACACATTTAAGCAAAAGGGGTGTTTATCAGCCAAAGGCCTGGCTGGAAAGGAATGTTTTTGCCTGGCACCTAAAGGTGTATAACGAGGGCAGCAGGCAAACCACCTTGGGGAAATGTAGCTGGAAAAGGTCCAGAGTTCTCAGAGTCTCCTGATCCCAAAACAGTCTTCTGTATCAGGGCTGAGTGCTGCAATATATAAAGCAAGGAAAGTACTTCTGAGCTTATGCAGAGGGCCGGCCCAACAGCCAGCAACCAAATGCAGTCTCTGGATTGGCACATTAGCTCAACATGCTAATACGTTAAAAGTCCTAGTTGCAGTTGATTTCCTGTATCGCTGGCCAGCTTTGGCCACTATGGGAAGGGCTTGCTGATTTCAGTTTTGGCTCATATAAATATATGGTCCTCTTACCTTGAGTTAAACCAGTTGCTTATGGCCAGCCACTGCTCTGTCTGGTTTTTCAACTGGGAAATCTTTAAGCTCCTGTATATGTAAGGAGAAAACAAAAAGATACTTGGAAGATGAACCTGGAAGGATGTGTTGAGGAGGCTAGACCTAGTGGCAACAGCCTGTTTTCTGCATGCAGACGGCTCCAGGTGAAACTGAGGAGATCTCCAGTACCTGGGTAGCACCCAGAGGGCAACTGCCAGTCAGAGGGACCAGGATTTGCCCTCCAGATGTTTGGAGCTGTCACCCAAAACATCTGGAGGCCCCAGGATTGCAAATACTGGTTCTAGGCAATGCCAGGGTCGATGGAGCGAACTGCCTGACCTGATACAAGGCAGCTGGTGCAGATGGGCCCATAAGGTTGTCAGCAGAGGGATGGAGACACACAGATTCCTGGTTGAGCATATTTCTATCCTTGGCAGAGTGCCACAGCTGAGCTGACACTGCTCGGCAATGTCTCAAGCAAGCATGCAAGCAAGCATGCAAGCAAGCAAGCAAGCAAGCAAGCAAGCAGCCTGCACCTCCAGGCTTCTCATTCTGCACAGACAGATGTGGGCAAAATCTGACACCTGGGCCACTTTCCCCAAACTAAGTAAAGGTAAAGGGACCCCTGACCGTTAGGTCCAGTCATGGCCGACTCTGGGGTTGCGGTGCTCATCTCCTTTTATTGGCCGAGGGAGCTTCCGGGTCATGTGGCCAGCATGACTAAGCCGCTTCTGGCGAACCAGAGCAGCGCACGGTTTATCTTCCCGGTGGAGCAGTACCCGTTTATCTACTTGCACTTCGAACTGCTAGGTTGGCAGGAGCAGGGACAGAGCAACGGGAGCTCACCGCATCGGGGGATTCGAACCACCGACCTTCTGATTGGCAAGTCCTAGGCTCTGTGGTTTAACCCACAGCACCACCTGCATCCCTTCCCCAAACTAAATAGGAATAAAAAGCAGCGTCAGAAGGCTGTGTTTATGGAGGAGTTGCTCCTTTATCCCCTCCTGCTATCCACCAGCAGCTTTTCTGGAGGGGGGAATAATATTGGGGGTGCTTGCCTGTGAATGGAGAAGCATACTGGGTATGTGTTAGCGGGTAAAGGGCAGGAGAAGAAAGGTTAAGCAGCCCCCTTCCCCTTAAACTGAACCTGCCATGGTGGCTTTTTATTTAAAATGGACTTCTGGAAAAAGAGGCAGACAAAAATCTGTGTTGTGGCTAATTTGGCGCCATGCCTCCTTCCTGGGACACGACACAGAATGGGGACCACCCAGGCTATTTGTACACAGCTGAGGAGTAGCAGGTGGTTTTGTGCATTTGGGACACAGCATCACCAGAAACAGTTTGATGTTGGAGGTCTGTGTGCTAGGTCTGCGTGCTGTTTGCTCCATTTGGTCTATGACATTTGGATGATCATCTTCATCAAATGATAGACTCCTACCTTCAGGAGCACTGTCTCCCTCGCCCACATTAGTCAGTTTAAAGCCCTCCTGATGAGGTTTCTGAGATTTTTGGCAAAAACATTTCTCCCAACCGTTGTGAGGTGCAGCCCATCGCTTGCCAGAAGTCCATCTTCAAGAAACTGCAGTCCGTGATCTAAGAATCCAAACCGTTCCTGTTTACACCATTTGCAAAGCCAGCTGTTCACTTCCACTATTTCCCTCTCTCCCTGGGCCACGTCGTTCAACTGGGAGGACAGATGAGATGACAATTTGTGCATTTAATTGCTTCAATTTCCTGCCCAGAGCCTCGTAGTCTCTTTTGATCTTCTGGAGGCTATTGCTTGCAGTGTCATTGGTTCCCACATGAACCAAGAGGAAGGGGTATTTGTCAGTGGGTTTTATGATTCCTTGCAGTCGTTCAGTGACATCTTGGATCTTAGCCCCGGGGAGACAGCACACTTCCCGAGACATCTTGTCAGGCCCACAGATCACTGCTGCTGTTCCCCTCAGTAGGAATCCCCTATCACCACTACACACCTCCTCTTAGGTTTGGTCGGGGTTCTTCCATGAGCTGTCCGTTCCAAGGTCGCCTGCACATTCCCTGAGGACTGACTTTGCTGCTCGTCTTCATATACCTGATCGACTGTAATGAGGGAGAGATCCTCAAATGGAGTCTGCTCTTCGTCTTCCATGCTAGGGGAGAGGACCTCAAAGCGATTGTGTGTTTCTAAACAATCAGAGCGAACCCTGGGCCTCCTACTTCTTTGAGTCACGTTTCTCCATATATCTGGCTCCTGTGTTGGTGAACTAGCCTCCTTCTCAGGGAGTCCCCTGTCTCCTCCTTGGTGGAGACGGTGTGCTCTGTTGCTTCCAAGAAGAGCTCCAGCTCTCTAATTCTTTGGAGCGTAGCTACACGTTCCTCCAGTTGCTGGACTTTGTCTTCTAAGAGGGCAATCAACATGCAATTGCTGCAGGTAAAGCTGCCTGCAACCTTTGGCAAGATGGCAAACATTGCGCAGGAACCGCAGGCGACTACAGCTGTTCCCTCCCCCTCCATCTTGAGAACGTGTCATTGGGGGTGGCTACAGTGGTCCTCCATCATAAAAAGCGTGAAGACAGGACAAATAACTCCCCCCACAAAAAAACCTAGGTCTCCCCCAACAAAAGCTTGAGACTAGCTCCCCTAAATCTAAAAGATGGATCAAATTGCGCGCGCCACTAGGTGCGCGCCGCTGCCCTGCAAGCTCTGATAAGCTCCTCCCACAGCTAATCACCTGCCTCAACAGAAACCCTGCCCCCTCTGACCTTTGCACAGGGAGAGCAGCTAATCAGCCACAAAGAAACACACACACACAAGAAAACCCCTTTTGCTCCTTCTTCAACTGCTGCCCTGCAAGCTCTGATAAGCTCCTCCCGCAAGCTCTGATAAGCTCCTCCCTTGTCTTTTAGGACACGGACATTCTTCATAAAGATTTTTGGAACACTGCTCCAAGATCCTGTTTGGCTAATGAGTAGGGTAGGGAAATTGCTTTAAAAGAATCGTTAAAAGACCTCCCTTTTGCCCAAGAACCCTGGCAACCATGAGCAAGACAGACCATGAGCAAGACAGAGACCCCTCTGCATGTTGTCAGCAAAAGGAGCTAGCAAAGTAAAGAGCAGATGCTTACCTGTTCTTGTACATCCATATTAATGTTCCATCACTGCAAAAACAGGAATAAAATGTTATGTATTTTCTTGCAGACTTCATGTTATATCACAAAGCTGGAAGGGCAGTACAGCCCTCTTGAGAATAAATCCCCTGTTGTGGTTAACCCTATGTTGAGCAAATCCACACATGTGTGTGCAGGATCAAGCCCCGTGGACTATCCTCGTTCCCTTCACCCAGACCAGCAAGCCACCTCTTAATTAGGAGAAGGGCTCAGTGGTACAGCATCTCCTTTGCATGTAAAGGGTCCTGGGTTCAACTCCTGCCATCTCCAAGTAGAACTGACTGAGAGAGGGAAATATTCTTCTCTGCTGGAAACCCTGGAGAGCTGCTGCCAGTCAGTGTGGACAATACTAGATGGATAAACTGGCTGCACACAGTAAAAAGCACTTTTTCTGTTCTCCTATGAACAGAATCTGCTCTCAAGTTCTCCCCTGCTAAAGTTCACATCTTGGATACATTCTTCGTGTATCAGGCTATTTGCTGAATATTCATTAACGTTTTAATAATGATATTTTATTCCCATATTTCAACAATTTGATAGTTTTATATTTGTGTTACGGAAATTATGGGGGGGGGGGGGCACGTCTTTAAAGTTAAATTTACAAATATTATGCCTGAATGTATCCTTTCAACTTGACAGCTCAGGGAAGTTACCTAGCTTTAAAAATAATATAAAATCAACTCCTTTGCCAGCTTCCTCCATTCCAAAGCTATGTAGCAATGATGTAGCAATGGTGCTGTACGAACTGTATTCTGGGATATGGTGGGAAAGTTTTAAAAGTCCTTGTCACCCCATCCTCGGGGTTCAAATATCCTCTTCAAACCTGTTGCGCAATAAATTTTGGTCTACAGCTATTTGCTCCGGTTGGTGGCTGGACTCCTCCTTTATTCTGCAGGGACCCGCGGGCTCTGCCCAACGAGCTGGGTGGCTGAGCAGCCTCGCACCTAGATTTTAACAATTTGACAACCTGGCATAGCATTTAACCAAACTTAGATTTCCACTCTCAAGAGAGGAAATGTGATGGCATGGAATTTGTGGCAACTAATGAAAATTCATACCAAACCCACCCCACAAGTGAAATAGAAGTAATCAGGTCTGGGCCTCCTCTCCTTCAAATGTCACCTGGGGGCAGTCATTCCATCAAACTGTCTCACTAGGAAGGATGGGAAGCCACAGGGTTCATCCCATTAGCTTTTCTCAAAACCCACCTCCACTAGGTAAAAGCGTTTAATAACTTGTACCCATTTTACGTTTTCCTCTCCCCTCCCCTGCCCCTTTCCCCTTGCAGGGCATGTTTCTTAAGACTGTAAGCCTTCAGGGAAGAGGCTGCCTTGTTTTAATTCAGTAACTCTCAAAGGGCGTGTCATGTGCCGCACTGTGTGGCAGGAGAGGATGGTAAGTGTGGCAGGAAGATTCAAGGACAATTAGTATTACTGGGAATTTTCTTATGTAGCTGCATTGATTTATACTTTCTGAATGTCCCATTACCATATTATAAATTAGTCATGTTCTAGGAGTTCTGCTAGGAGTTGTTTCTTACCAATGAATTTCTTACCAATGCAGTCATACCTTGGGTTGAAGCAGCTTCAGGATAAGTATTTTCGGGTCGCGAGCTGCGGCGACCCGGAAGTAACGGAGCGCGTTACTTCCGGGTTTTGCCGCTCGCGCATGCACAGATAGTCAAAATGATGTCACGCGCATGCGCGGAAGTGGGAAAATGCAACCCGCGCATGCACAGACGCGGGTTGCGTTAACTTCTGGATGCAAACAGGGCTCCGGAATGGATCCTGTTCACATCCAGAGGTACCACTGTAAAAAATTCAGTGTGGCAAGCAAACTTTTATTCTGAAACTGTCGCCCAGAGAGAGTGAGAGCCACTGTTTTAACTGATATCATGAAAGCCATCCTGGGAGCCTTTTCAGCTGAAGAACAGAGTACAAATGCTCAAAACAAAACAAAACAAAACAACAGCACTTGCGGTTGCAGGCTGCTCTCTGCATGGTAGTGTCAACCATTTCCATAGAACTTGGGGGAATGGGTTTGACAAAGTGCTTTAGATACATCATGTCAGACTGACACTTCCTGTGAAAAGTCAGGCTGGACAGCTCTGTCTATGTCCAATCCTCATCAAATTTACATGTAAATTCATGTAAAATTCATTCCATCTCATTTCTGCATTATAATCTGAAGAGTTTTTATAAAAAAAGTTTTATGACAAAATGTATTTAAATATGTATTTCATCTCAATTTACACATTTCTAAGATTTGATTCAATTTAAATGTATTTTGTTTTACTTTTGAGCTGAAAACTGCACTGTAAAATTCGGAGAAGTGTGAAATCGAGAGGGACCAGTGTACACTGGTACCTCGGGTTAAGTACTTAATTCGTTCTGGAGGTCCATTCTTAACCTGAAACTGTTTTTAACCTGAAGCACCACTTTAGCTAATGGGGCCTCCTGCTGCTGCCACTGCGCCGCCGCCGCACGATTTCTGTTCTCATCCTGAAGCAAAGTTCTTAACCTGAAGTAATATTTCTGGGTTAGCGGAGTCTGTAACCTGAAGCGGATGTAACCTGAAGCTTATGTAACCCGGGGTACCACTGTATTAACGATCCATGCGTTGGTGCACGTTAAGCCAGTTTGTTTAAAAACTGCCAATCAACCTGGCTGGTGGGGGAGGGGTTTGGACAAGATAGCTGGATCCACAGTTAAAGTCCCTCATAATTTTCACTTGTTGAAAGAGCTTGAAGAAGGTAAGAAAGGACTAGGACCCTCGTACCTACGGGACCGCCTCTCCTGGTATGCCCCACGGAGGACCTTACGGTCTGCAAATAACAACATCTTGGAGGTCCTGGGCCTCAAGGAGATTAGACTGGCCTTGACCAGGGACACGGCCTTTTTAGTTGTGGCCCCGGCCTGGTGGAATGCACTCCCACAAGAGACCAGGGCCCTGCACGATCTGACATCTTTCCGCAGGGCCTGCAGGATGGAGCTGTTCCACCTGGCCTTTGGTCGGGGTTCAGTCTGACTCCGCTTTCCCCCATAAGAACTTGCATGAAAGTGGCCCCCCAACTTTTCTCACAGGCTCATATAAGATCAGTTAGGCCTGGTAGGCATTTAAGGATCCCATCCCTAATTTGCGGGTTGCCATCTGATTGGATTTTATTCTGATCCTGATCTGATTTTAGGATGTATTTTAATTGACTGCCTGATTTTATGTTAATGTATTATACATTTGATGTTAGCCGCTCTGAGTCCGGTTTTGGCCGGGGAGGGCGGGGTATAAATAAACGTATTATTATTATTATTATTATTTAGCACAGTAAGCTGGGGCCTCGAAGATGATGTAGACATGACACTCACAAGGTGGACAGACCTTTTTATTGGGCCACCAAGGACAAATTATGAAAACAGAATACACAGCTTGAAAGCAGAGTGTGGACCTAAATATCCAGAAGCACCCTCCAACAGTTAAGATTCATAACTAAAATTAATATGAATGGAATAAATAATTCCAATGGAATGGTGGGTGCACGAAGCCTACCAGAGTTAGCAAAATGGCAAAATTCTTGAAGCATTAAAGTTGTGCTTCCAGAGCTAAGGTATCTAATGATGTCCAAAAAAAAATATGAATCTTCTACAACCTCCAGAAGAACAAATTTATAACAATTAATTTTAGCTGAATCCCAGACTTGTCTTAAACAACTTCTACTTATGTTTAATGTCTTGATTCGCAATGCAAACCACCAATGCATTAAGACTTTCTGCTCTGGATACTTGAAAGAATGAATATATGTAATATGCAAGACCCATATGTTTTCAGGCACAATCAGAGAGAGAAAAGGCGGCACAATTATTTTTCCTCTTTACCAAGGCACAATAATTTTAAGCATAGACCTGAAGTAGCCCAGAATTGGAGCTCCGGTGTTTTCTGATGAAAGCAGCCCTGTTTAGGGAAGTTTTAAGTATTGACGATTTTTTGTTATGTTTTTAGATATGTTGTAAGCCACCCAGAGTGGCTGGGAAAACCCAGTCAGATGGGCGGGGTATAAATAATAAAATTATTGTTATTATTGTTATTAGACAAAAGCATGGCAAGGTCAGGTTGCTGTGGAATAATATTTCAGAAAACTTTTTCTAAAGAAGAAAAAGTACAAATGGCATGCTTTATACATCTTGCTTTAGTCAAAGAGCTGCAGATAAAATTGTTAAATTGTTAAAAGCTGACCAAGCCTAATTCTTCTCTGTCTATAATGAGAAACAAGATGTTGGGTGTCTTTGATCCTAAACCATGGGTAGGCAAACTAAGGCCCGGGGGCCGGATCTGGTCCAATCGCCTTCTCAATCCGGCCCGTGGACGGTCTGGGAATCAGCGTGTTTTTACATGAATAGAATGTGTCCTTTTATTTAAAATGTATTTCTGGGTTTGTTTGGGGCCTGCCTGGTGTTTTTACATGAGTAGAATGTGTGCTTTTATTTAAAATGCATTTCTGGGCTGTTTGTGGGGTATAGGAATTCGTTCATTTTTTCCCTTCAAAATATAGTCCGGCCCCTCAACAACGTCTGAGGGACAGTGGACCAGCCCCCTGCTGAAAAGTTTGCTGACCCCTGTCCTAAACACTTGCTTCTTGTAAGAACAGTACATTCTAACTGATTTCCAGGATGCCAGGATCCCTTTTCCTACTTACCTGTCCAGGTAAGCAAAAACTGCCAATGATAATATTGCCAAGAAGGAAATCGATAGCAGAGCTGTCTTCCCTCTGGAGAGTGTCATCCTTATCAGAAAGAAAAAGAGGAGATGTTTGCCAATATCTTCACTGAGCAGAGTTCAGGGAGAGCCTGGAGATGTTTCTGGCCTGAAATGTGACCCACCCCCACGCCACCCCGCTCCTGAGTTGGTTATCATTGCCAGACAGAAACCCTGGAAGGGTCACAGCACTCACACGGAGGCTATTCTGTGAGTAGGGATAGAAAGTTCTGCCAATTTCAGTTATCTCGTTTTTTTTCATTTTTCCAGTCTTAAATTCAGTTCTCCACATTTCTGCAGCAACATATATGTATTTTAATGCAAGCTCTACCTTAGCACGTGCATTTTTGTGAACATTTTCTGGTTTGGAGAACTGCGGCACAAAATTTGCATGAGTACAGAGATGCTCTGTTTCAGGTTTAGTAATGCTTCAGGAAGTGTGAATATGGTAGATTCAGCTTCAAATGCAAACCCATCTCAGGCGACGTTTCCCAGGAAGAGAAAGGTGTGACTGTCAAGGTGATCTAAGCCTTTAAGCACGCTGCCCTCTGACTCACAGTGCAAAGCTCCGCATGCTTGCAGAATAAATCCCCACTGATTTCAAACTGCAGTTTATTCCCTAGGAGCATGCAAAATGTTGCGCAGTCTTTTAAAAAAAGTTTGTTACTGGGCAAACCATTTTTTGTACAACTATATCCAGCTCTGCTTGCTTGTTATACACACACACACACACACACAGAGAGAGAGAGAGAGAGAGAGAGAGAGAGAGAGAGAACTGCTTTTGTAGACCAAGCATTCTACAAAATGAAGGAAATAGAAATTTCAGGGGAAACAGTTACTGAAAGATTGGAAAAATAATTAAAATGGGCCAAAAATTGATTTAAACACGCCAGCAGTCTACATATCTGGGTAGACTTGTCTAAACAAAAAGCCTTTTAAGCAGGCACTGAAAAAGAGTACAGTGAAGACAACTGCCTGATGTCAATCTGAAGGGAGTTCCAAAGGGTATGTCCTACCATGCTAAAAGACCAGTTTCTTACAAATGCAGAATGGTATTCTGTAGCCACTGTAACAGTGCGAGTTACATAGATCAAGGCAGTTAAGCGGGAGTACATAGGGTAAGACGATCTTGCAGGTAAACTGGTCCCAAAGATTTTAAGGGCTTCATAGTAACACATTGAATCTGGCCCAGCAGCAACTGCAGATCTAAATCTTAGGATTAGGGGCAGGCACTTACTTTGGTTTTGTTGTGTGGATTTTATCACCTGAGAGGTCAGCATCAATCTTGTGGTCTTTAGGTGCAAGTAGCAATGCTTAGCTTCTGGTTCTAAAAAGAAGGAATAAAACAGAGTTGTTACAAAACCTCTTCTAGGTTCTCACTTCAAGGGAAGCCCCATGGACCAAAGGTCCAGCCCGTATAGATGTTGTTGGATCCAGCTCCCCATAGTGCCAGCCTGCTGCCTAAGTCCCCTCCTCGCCAGGGTTTACATACATACATCAAATTTATTACGGTCAGAGACCAGATGGGACTACAATCCCAATAGCAAAGCAAACATTTAAAGCAATATACAACAATGGATTTTAAGTTTAAAAGTGTGATAGGCATATAAACACATAAAAACTTTAAGATAGACTGCCATAGAGAAATGAACCAGAGTCGCTCGTGGATCCAAGTTTGGGAATTTTCTTAACAAACTAGATTGAATCAGGGGATGGTCTGCACCTACAGATCTGTGCGCAGAATCTGGGTTGTTTTGTGGTCTTTGCCTAACAGAAGAAGATCGAATTTTTGCTTTACCGGGAGGTCAGCAGCAGGGGGTCAATGGTTTCTCTACGTGCCTCAAAAGGGACATCTTAAAAATATGTGTTCAGGGCTTCCTATGTTCCCCAATGGACAGGCGCAAATTCTCTGGTCATATGGGACTTTTTTAAAGGATCCTTCCAAGACCGGCGAGGGCAGAGCTGAGCTTCTGGCAAGTGTGAAAGCCCTTCTTGCATTTTTGGATACAAGAAAAAAGAGATATGCAGCTGGTGCAGCTATATCTCTCTCGATTTCTACAATTTTGTAGTTGGGGCACCTTGAGCAGTCCTGTTGTCTCTCGGTGTCTATAATTCTTTGCCTAACCATTGCTTTTGCTTGGCCCAAGCTCAGACTTAGAAGGGCTTGAGGGGCAAAACCCAGTTTCTGAAGAGTGTTCAGGACTGCTGTCTGCCAGCCTGACTGGAACTGGTCACCAGGGTTCTTTCCAAGAAATCAGAGACTGTGTCTGCACTACAAGCAGCATCAACGGGGGTTCAAATCCCCACAGGTGTGGGGTTGCACCAGGTGTATAGGGGCACTTCAACCTCCCCCCCTCCCGCTGTAGTCCAGAGTACAACCCCCCCAAAAGCAAGATCATTCTACCAACTGAGACACCTGCTGACTCCTCCACCCACCTCACTGAATGGTTTCTATTTATCTCAATTGGTCGTTATAAGAACTCTGAAACCATAAGAAACTGGATCCTGAGTTTGCTTTCCTTCCCTCCTCTTTCATGCTGCTTCTTTTAGAATGCAAATCTAAGGACAAAGACCAATCAAACACACATACTCCACAATTTTTTGGTCCAATTATTCAGGGTGCCAATAGAATTTTCTGAGCCCAGTGCAGTGGATGCTTAGGTTGCAAACGTGATCCGTGCGGGATGCACGTTCGCAACCTGCAGCGTCCGCAACCCGCAGCGGCGCATCTGCGCCGGCGCAGGTTGCGCTTCTGCGTGTCTACGCATGCGCAAAGCGTGATTTAGCGCTTCTGCGCATGCGCGACCACCAAACCCCTGAAGTAACCCGTTCCGGTACTTCTGGGTTTCGGCGGTCCACAACCCGAAAAAATGCAACCTGAAGCGTCTGTAACCTGAGGTACACTATATGTGGATTGGAAATGTGTGTTACCTTCTATGCATGGGTTGGAGAGCCCCCAAAATAAATCACTTGTCACAGTGTGACATATCACTTAGAGGACCTGAGAGACCAGGGTTCAAATTCCCACTTGGCCATGACACTCACTGCATGTGACCTTGGGGGCCAGGCACTGCCTCTCAGCCTAACCTACTTCACAGGGTTGTTGTGTGGATTAGAATATCAGGGATAAAGAATGTTATTTTTATTTCAATCAGCCCCGGTAATAGGCAGCGCCGGATGCTTTGAGCAATGGCAAAAAGACATATCTAGGTTTATCTGGCATGGGAAGAAACCAAGGATAAAATATAAATTATTAACAGACGCAAAAGAGAGAGGAGGTTTGGCCCTGCCAGATTTGAAACTTTATTATGAAGCATCCTGTATCTGCTGGATCAGGGACTGGATTATGCTGGAAAGTGCAGACATTCTAGATTTAGAAGGTTATGATAATAGATTTGGATGGCATGCATACCTATGGTATGAAAAAACAAAGGTCCATAAAGCATTTCAGAACCATATAATAAGAAAATCAATCTTTAGGGTATGGGGGAAGTATAAAAATTTATTTGAGCAAAAAACACCCTTGTGGCTTTTCTTTGGAAGCAATATCTCTGAGAAAAGTGAATATAAGAAGTAATTGGCCAACTTATAGAGAGCTGCTAACCAAACTGGAAAATCAGTTAAAATTAAAAGATTTTGAAGATATAAGGGAACTAGTAACAGATTGGTTGCAGTGTTTTCAGTTGAATGATATCTTCAAGATAGATAAAAAGAGTGGTTTTGGTTATGAGATATCAAGATTCCAAAAATAACTCCTAGAAAATAATATCTGTCCAAAAAAAAAACCCACTTGTTCCTAGAATGGCGTACAAAGGATGAACAGGTTAAATTGGCTATGATAAACTGGACAAAGGACTTAGGACATAACATACAAATGGCAGATTGGGAGAGGCTAAGGAGAACAGAACTGAAATTCACAGCGTGTTGTACACTGAAAGAAAATTCTATTAAAATGATCTGACTCCTACTAAGTTATCCAAAATATATAGAACAAGCTGCAATATTTGTTGGAAGTGTAAAGAAAAGGAGGGTACCTTTTATCATATGTGGTGGTCATGTAAGATAACAAAGTATTTTGGGAAATTGATATACAATTAGGCCTTTACATGCCTAAATATCCTTTCCTCAGCAGTTCTGGAGGAAAGACATAAATCCCTTGCTATGAATGCAGGGGCCCCTGGCACTCTGGAGAGGTCAAATTGGCAGCGCATGCCCTCCAGTATGGTTCCTCTTGCCAAGATCTATTCAAAATCTTTATCAAACCCCTCTTATTAAATCTGCCAGGACAATCAGACTGCTAGAGTAGCACAAGAGCATGAGACTCTTAGATCAGATGACTCTCCTGGTCCCTTCCATCTCTACAATTCTAAGATTTTACTCATTTCAGATCAAAATGCATATATTGCTTTCAGAGTGGCCAAATTCTGTGCTGTAGCAAGCAAAACTCACCAGGAACTGACCTCTCTGACATTTAATAATTTTCCCCTTTGGCGTTTGTGACATGACCATAACTTTTATCATGTTGCTGTTTATCTTAGTTTATTTTATGCTACTTTTATTTATTTTACCACATTGTAAACATTTGTGCCTCATTTTCCCACTCTTTAGCTTTTGACCATAAATCCAATAAATATTTAATATTATTTGCATGTTCACTTGTTTATATCCAGTGAAAGTTGCCAACTGATGAGAGGGGAGCAATCCTTAGCTTGCTTTTTTGCCTTTAACAGCAGCTTGATCTGTAGAAATTATGCAAATGAAGTTCTTCACAACACTGACTTCTTCCATATGTATGAAGGGCAACCTACTTTTAGAGAGCAGAATGGTGGTTGGCTGAAAAGCTGACAACCCAGTATTAAATTTCACTATTTTTTGCTTTTGTAGAAATTTGGATAATGCCACCAAATATGAAAAGAAAACCAAAGCAAACACAGCATTTCTGTATCCAAATCGCCAATTATCTGAGACATCAAGGACCTACACCTTTGATTTCCACCCTCTAATGTAGTGTTTCCTAAATGGTGGACCCAGGAGGTCCACGTAACCCACACAGGGTGTCCATGGTACATCAACTGTCCAGGACATCCCATTTTAGGGGGCCATGAGAGCATGGTGCCGCCAACATGAGCAAGATCACAGTGCTCCAAAATACAAGTTTTGGAGCACTGTGCTCTTGGACAGGTCATATAAGCCATGAGGGAGTGCAACCTGGAAGATGCACAGCCCAGCTTTGCACTGGGACAGACCGGAGGGTATGGTGGCGCAATTCACATAACAAAAACCACCAATGAGATATCAACATTTTCAAAATTAGGGTCCATGGCTTGGCTTTTTAAAAACAGGAGGTCCACAACACTTAGCTAATTGGGAACCACTGCTCTAATGGCTCTCACATCGTGCAAATGTCTTAAAATAGTCCCTTGTTTGCAAACTGCTTTGAGTCTTATAAGAAAATCCGCATGCATATAGACAGCAATGGCCATAACGCCATGAAAACAACCCCCTAAATGTCAGCCCACTGAGAATTTCCAGACCAGGTAATATCAACTTCCACACAATGCTAAGCCAGTTGTCACTATTAAAAGCCAAAGCTTGTTCGAATTTTGGCAATGAGAGAAGAGCAACCCCAGTCAAAGTGGAACTGACTGGCTTTGCCAATTTAACCTCTTCCAAGCACCCGAGGGAAAAGAAACCCAAAGTACCTTCTAATAGAATCAACTAAAATGCCACAAAATAGTGCGATTTTTATTTATTTATTTATTTTAGTTCTTCTTTTAATTTTTCATGCTGGACTTGAAAGCCACATGCTGGGGAGAATTAAATTTGATTAGGAATACAGGAACATATCAGGCTGCCTTTATGCTGACTCAGAACATTGGTTTACCTTGCTCAGTACTGTCTACACTGATTTGCAGTATCGGCACTCCCAGGGTTTCAGGCAGAAGTCTCCCATTCCTAGCTGGAGCTGCCAGTGATATAAATTGGAACCTTCAGCATGCACGGCAGATGTTCCAGCACTGAGCTATGACCCTTCCCTTAGGATTCTGCCAGGTGCAAAGAGAGCAGGTGTTGTGCTATGGTTAGTGTGATGGGATGATGAGCTGCTTGTGCGTAAAATCGTATCCCCTCAGAGTTTGTTCAAGTCCACAAACCTCTGTCTGTGACGGAGCCCCTCAGACATGGCTCCTCTAGTCACTAGCAGATTCCGACAGTGGTTGCTTTCGGAATCGCTTCCAACATAAAAGCTCCTTAACGGAAACACGTCTTCTGGACTCTCTGCGTGTCAGTTTCCGGCGAGGAGTGGGTGTCCCTACAGGAGGTCCTGAAACCTCCCCACTGTTTTCGCTGGAAGTGTCTCTGAGCCATCCCTCCAGCTCACTTTCCCTCCGCTCAGCTCCTCTCCCCCTACTGGTTCCCTCTTCAGCTGCTGAGTCTCTCCCAACCTGTGTGAGCCCTTTCACCTCCCTTCCGTCCGATGGCAGTTCCCTGACATCCACCTCCCTCCAGGGCCCCCTTCACCCCCTCTCGCCCCCTCCTCTACGGGCGGTGAGGAGGCAAAACCCCGGAATGAACTTCCTTCATCTTCCGATGTCTCGAACACTTCTCTCCACCTGTTGCGGTTCCTGGTCTCGAAGTACTCCTCCTCCTCAGAGTCCATCTCCCCTTCCCCTTCCGAGTCCGGGAAGCCTTCCAACTCCTCCTCCTCATCAGTGGTCCCAAAGTATTCCCTCCGGAACCTCTCCACAGGCTGAGGTTTCCTTGGGAACCTTTGATGGAACGTTTCTATCAATACCTCGTCATTGATATCTTCGGCCATTACCCAAGTGTTTTCTGACTCCGGTTCTCCTTCCCACGCTACCAAATACTCCACCTGATTCCCCTTCCACCTGGCGTCGAGGATTTCTGCCACATGGCTGCTGCATTCTCTTTCTTCTATGACCGGTCCCCGAGTGGCCATCCCTTCTCGCCCCCTTCGTACGGTGACAGTAACGACCTGTGAAATACTGGGTGCAGTTTCATGTGGTTGGGTAACCGGAGCCTGAAAGCCACTGGGTTGACCTGTTGAATGACCTCAAAGGGACCCAACCTCCTGGGTCTTAATTTCTTACAACCTCCTTTGAACGGCAACCCTTGGGTTGACAGCCACACCCTATCTCCCACCCTTATGGTTTCACCTTCCCTTCGGTTCTTGTCTGCTTGCCTCTTGTATTCTTCCTTCGCCCTTTCTAAGTTGAGTTGGAGCTGACAATGGATTGCTTCCATTTCTTCTACAAAATGCTCGGCTGCCGGGACGCTCCATCTCTCCCCATCTCCCCGTGGGAAAGCCCTGGGATGACACCCATAATTAGCCAAGAAGGGGCTCATCCCTGTGGACACATTCTCGGCATTGTTGTAGGCAAATTCCGCCAGCGCCAACTTTTCTACCCAGTCATTCTCTCTGTCATTGACATAACACCTCAGGTATTGCTGGAGGACACCGTTTGCTCTTTCCGCCTGCCCGTTGGTTTCAGGGTGCCGGGCAGTCGAAAAATTGACCTCCACCTGCAGTAAGCTCATGAGCTTCCTCCAGAACCTGGAAGTAAATTGTTTTCCTCGGTCTGAGACCACCCTCAATGGCACCCCGTGCAACCTAAAAATGTGTTCTACAAATAACTTCGCTGTCTCTTCCGCCGTGACTGCATGCGAGCAAGCTACAAAGTGGCACATCTTTGTTAGTAGGTCCACCACCACCATGATGGCTGTTTTCCCTTTGGACTTCGGCAGATCAGTCATAAAATCTATCGACACTGCCTCCCAAGGTCGTTCTGGGGTTGGTAAGGGTTCTAACAGCCCCGCCGGCGCCCGCCTTTCCCCTTTGGCTCGCTGGCATTGCTCGCACCCTCTTACATACTCACGTACATCTTCCTTCACCTTGGGCCACCAAAATTCCCTGGTGACCAACCACATGGTTTTGTGTTGTCCAAAATGCCCCGCCGTAGGGCTGTCGTGCAACTGCTTGAGTACCCTCCCCTTAAGTCTCCTTCAGGGATATACAGTGCCCCTTTGTAATACAAAGCTCCATTTCTTTCCTCGAAACCCCTGGTTCCTCTCCCTCACCCCTAAGACCTCTGAGCTTATTCTGGGCGTATTCATCATTCTCTGTTTCCTCTACCAGTTCTCTTTGTCCCACCAATGCCGCCCCACACACCCAGCGGTCCTCTGGAATGACATGTCTCTCTTCGGGTGCTCCCTCCCCTCCAAATATTCAGGTTTGCGTGAGAGAGCGTCCGCCCTAATGTTCTCTGGGCCTGGCACGTAACCAATCTCAAAGTTAAATTTGGAGAACTCCTGGGCCCATCTCACTTGCCGTTGGTTGAGCACTCGTGCCGTCCTCCAATACTCTAGGTTCTTGTGGTCAGTGCACACTTGCACCTTATGTTGTGCGCCAATTAGCAGGTGCCTCCATCTCCGGAACGCCTCATGAATGGCTAGTAGTTCTCGGTCATACACCGTGTAGTTCCTCTCGGATTTGTTCAGCTTTCGCGAAAAAGGCACACGGTCTCCACTCTGACTCCTCCTTCCCTGGCTGCAGAAGCACCGCCCCAATCGCTCTGTCTGATGCGTCAGTTTCCACTCTCATCGGTTTTTGTAAATCCACATGCAGGAGTTGTTGTTCCGAGGCGAAGGCCCATTTTAGTTCCTCAAATGCTCGCTCCGCCTCCTCAGTCCAAACGAACTTCTTCTTACTGCTGAGACAGTCCGTTATGGGCGCCGTCAGGTGGGCAAAGTTTCGGATGAACTTACGATAGAAGTTCCCAAATCCTAGGAACCTCTGCACATCCTTCCTTGTTTTGGGTGTTTTCCATTCCAGCACCGCCTGGACCTTGCCGGGATCCATGGCCAATCCCTTGTCTGACAGGCGATACCCCAGGAATTCCACCTCCTTGGTATGAAACTGACACTTCTCCAGTTTCACCCACAGCTGGTTGGCTTGCAGCCTGCTCAACACTTCTCTGACGTCTCTCACATGCTGCTCCTCATTCTCAGAATACACCAACACGTCGTCTAAAAAGGCCACACAATTCTTGTAAAGCAAAGGCCCCAGGACGTGGTTCATAAACGATTGAAAGGTTGCGGAGCCTGCTTGGAGGCCGAAGGGCATAACCAAATATTCAAATGCCCCTAAAGGGGTGAACATGGTGGTTTTCCATTCATCCCCCTTCCTTATTCGTACCAGGTTGTACGCCCCCCTTAGGTCCAGCTTTGTGAAAATCTTTCCCTTCCGCACCCTTGTCAAAATGTCGTCAATCCTGGGCATAGGGAAGGCCACTGGTTCTGACACTGCATTTAAGGCCCTGAAGTCACACACCAGCCTCGGCTTGTTCGTGTTTTTATCCACAAAAACACTGGGCTGCCCCCCACCGCCCTGGACTCTCTGATGAACCCTCTCTTCAGGTTCTTGTCAATGAACTCTCTTAACTCCTGCATCTCTCTGTCTGACATGGCGTACAGCTTGCCTACAGGGAGCTGTGCCCCAGGGAGTAAATTGATTTGACAGTCAAAGGGTCTATGCGGGGGGTAGTTGGTCAGCTTCCCTTTCGCTGAAGACGTCACGGAGATCTGCATATTGTCGTGGTACCTTCACGTTCTCCGTTACTTCAGTCCCTGCTAGGGTGGCTTGGGCCCCTGCCAAACCCTTTCCCTCTTTGCAGTGTTCTAAGCAATGTGCTGAACCAAAAGAAACCACTCTCTGATGCCAGCCCACCAGCGGATCATGTAACGCTAGCCAGCTCATCCCCAATATAATGGGAGCTCCTCCCAAGGTGGCCACATTAAAAGCTATCAGTTCGGTGTGCCTTGCTACCTTCATTATCATTGGGACGGTCTGCAAGCTGACTTCTCCTCCCAACAGCTCCCTGCCATCGATCGTGGTCACCTGCAGGGGGTTGCTTAAAGGGATCGTCTGTATCTGGTGTTCAGCTGCAAACTCTTTGCTCATGAAATTGCAGGAGCTGCCTGAGTCCAACAGCGCCTTTATCTTTAGAGGGTGTCCGTTTGGCAGCTCTAGCGTCACTTCTATCACTAGGGCGGGTTTAGGAGGTTCTGGCGTGGGCACTCTCACTGCTCTTTGGCCTGGCTGCTGTGCCCCGACAGTGGCAGCCAGGCGTTGGCTTTTACTTGCTCCGGTATTTCTTCCTCTCTTCCCTCCACAGCTCCTACCATCCCTTGCCATTCCTTCCTCTGGGGGCAGACTCTGGCAAAGTGACCTGGCTGTTGGCAGAGATAGCATTTCCGGGCGCCTTTTCCCTCCTTCTTTCCCCCCTCACTGGGCTTTGAAACTGCGCGCGCGCGCTGTTCCGATTTCCATCGGCTCTGCCGGCGGGAAAGTTGGCTCTGGAATGTCTGGAATGCGGAACTCCTTCCAACGTTCCCCTTTCCCTTCCCGCCTCTCCAATGCTCTCGCCTCCTGGCGCGCTCCTATGGTCAGCGCTGATTTGGTCAGCTGGTCCATAGACTCCGCCCTGGGCGCCCGGGAAAGTTCGTCTTTCACAGCCGAAGAAAGCCCTTCTTCAAAGAGCATTTGAATGGGTTCCGCCGATAAGTCCCACCCCAATCTGTGAACCAGCATGGTGAACTCAGTCCAGTACTCACGGACAGATCGGCTCCCCTGTTTGCAAGCCATTAACTGTCTGCGCACCACTCCCTGTTCAATATCGCTGGAAAACATCAGATCCATGGCGCGAAAGAACTTCATCGTGTCCTTCAGGACGTCACTATTCGCTGCCATCAGGGGTCTAACCCAGTCTCTCGCCCCCTTTTCAAGATGCTCAATCACGAAAGCCACTCGTGATTCCTCGTCAGGGAATTCATCAAACTGCAGATTGAGGGCATATTGCATCTCTGTCCGAAAGCCATGATAGTCTTTGGGCTCCCCCCCAAACTTCTGCACCAATCCTGGTACCTTTCTGGCGAGCTGGGTGGCTTTCCCCGTGTTGTCTGCATCCTGAGCCCTCCTCTCCTCAAGCCTCGCCGTCTGCATCGCTAGCTGGACCTCCAACACCCGGTACCTTTCTTCCAGGCTTGGACCCGCTCCAGCTCCTGCTTCTCCGGTTCCGGCTGGGTTGCTCATGATGCCTTCTCCTGCACAAGCTGCTTTCAAAGACTGTCGGAATGCTGTGATGGGATGATGAGCTGCTTGTGCGTAAAATCGTATCCCCTCAGAGTTTGTTCAAGTCCACAAACCTCTGTCTGTGACGGAGCCCCTCAGACATGGCTCCTCTAGTCACTAGCAGATTCCGACAGTGGTTGCTTTCGGAATCGCTTCCAACATAAAAGCTCCTTAACGGAAACACGTCTTCTGGACTCTCTGCGTGTCAGTTTCCGGCGAGGAGTGGGTGTCCCTACAGGAGGTCCTGAAACCTCCCCACTGTTTTCGCTGGAAGTGTCTCTGAGCCATCCCTCCAGCTCACTTTCCCTCCGCTCAGCTCCTCTCCCCCTACTGGTTCCCTCTTCAGCTGCTGAGTCTCTCCCAACCTGTGTGAGCCCTTTCACCTCCCTTCCGTCCGATGGCAGTTCCCTGACAGTTAGCATGTTGGACTAGGACCTTGGGCCAGTCACACAATCATGGGATCATAGAAATGTGGAGTTGGAAGAGATCCAGATGTACACATCCCCACACCATGTTAATTTCTCTCCATTTCTCATTTTCCCCCCCAATTTTAAATTCAGTTCTCTATCAGTTTCTGGTTGTTTTGTTTTGTTTCGTCCTCATGAAAATTTCTCAGCATTTTGGCACACATTGCTCATAATATTTGTTTATCTATTTATTTCGGCAATTCAAAAGCAGTTTCCAACAAAACAAAACTCTTGAGTGGTTTACAATATATGTTACAAACATATAACATACATAAGATTGTAACATATGCCAGAAACTAAACTCTATGCCATTTAAAACATAGACAATTTTGCATGCACTTTGACTAACAGACACATTTTTGCGAGCAATTTTTTCTAATATCATGCATTTTGACTAATTTGCATATTGTAATGCTCATTTCCTCCTTACCTATTAACACACTTACTTGGTCGCACCATAAAAGCTGGAGGAGAGTGAGTGTCAAAGGAGTACAATATTTCAGTTCATGTGCTCTTTCAGGAAGCGTGAATTTGGTAGGCTGAACTTTCAACGCAAAAGCTACTGAATTTAGTTACTTAGTATATATACCACCTTTCCCTCCAGGTAGCATATATGGTTCTCTTCCATCCCATTTTATCCTCACAACAACCCTGTGAGGTAAGCTAGGCTGAGGGACTGTGACTGGCTCCTTCCTGAGGCCACACCCATAGGTTGAAGTGAGCTTCAAAACTGAGTGGGGGGTTCAACTCCTGGTCTCCCATGCCCTATTCCAACACTCTAACCCAGAGTTTTCCAAACTTTTCCTGTTGGTGACACACTTTTTTGACATGATTTATTATAAAATTTATTAGTATTTTCCACACAACAACAACCCGAAAAATATCGAAAAATAACAATACACAAAACACAAAAACCAACATTCAAAAAAAATCCACATCTTACAATATAAACACTAAAAAGAAAAACAAACATTGACTTCCACCAATCCCACAGCACCTCCTTTATCTCTCATTGTGTCTTCCTGTTTTCCTGATCATCTCTATCCTAGTATCTAGATATAAATCCCTCTTTCTTATCCTTTCACTTCACAAGGTTATTCCAGACTCAGCCAGATTTCTGCCCTCGAACCTTGGCTTTTAAGGTATTCATTTAGACACTCCCATTCCTTTTTCACTTCACTTTTTGGTTTTTGTCTTATTATATCTGTCAATTTGGCTAATTCTAAATATTCTGAAAGCTTACATAACCACTCTCTCCTAGTGGGTAACTGATTCCCTTTCCAATACTTAGCCACCAGTATTCTTGCTGCAGAATATAAGAGTATAAGAAAAAATTAGCTTTGTTTTTTGACATGCATCATTTCGCGACAGTGATCTACTTTTACTAGCAAACCAGAAGTTATACTTTCCCCTGGGGAACATCTGTGTGAAACACCTACACACTGCAGCTGAGCTGCACACTGGGTCTCATTTCTCCCCCATCTCTAGCAAGTTAAGATGCAAATTATTCCTCACCTCCACCGCAACACTTCCCAACATTCAGGCAGGCCAGTGGTAAGACTATTAATGTTATTGTTTCAGGGAATGCCTGGGCTCTTCTATCCTAGCTCAATCGCTGAGATCATCTGCAGGAACATCGCTGGTCATCCCCCAAGTCTGTGAGGCTCATTTGACACACAGGTCCTGTTGAAAACTCTGCCATTAGAGATTCAACAGGCACCTTCTGCCTCAACTTTTTAAATGGCTGCTGAAAAACCTGAGGGTTATCTAGTCTAACCCTCTGCAATGCAGGAATCTTTTGCCCAATGTGGGGCTCGATACCACAACGCTGAGATAAAGAGTTTTATGTTCCACTGATTTTTTTTAATTTTATGAGTAAAGGTAAAGGGACCCCTGACCAGTAGGTCCAGTCGTGACCAACTCTGGGGTTGCGGCACTCATCTCGCTTTATTGGCCGAGGGAGCCGGCGTACAGCTTTCCGGGTCACGTGGCCAGCAAGACTAAGCCGCTTCTGGCGAACCAGAGCAGCGCACGGAAACGCCATTTACCTTCCCGCCGGAGCGGTACCTACTTATCTACTTGCACTTGGACGTGCATTCGAACTGCTAGGTTGGCAGGAGCTGGGACCGAGGAACGGGAGCTCACCCCGACGCGGGGATTCGAACCACCGACCTTCTGATCGGCAAGTCCTAGGCTCTGTGGTTTAACCCACAGCGCCACCCGCCTCCCTAATTTTATGAGTAGTTGTATATTAATATTTTTTTATAAATAACTATCACTACCTCACCCTACTTCTGTACCACCCAATAACTGGAGTTCTCCAAGGTTACAATGACCTTGGGCCGGTTACAATATCTCAGACTAAGCTACCTTGCAGGGTTGCTGTGAGGGTAAACTGGAGAGGGGGAGAAGTGTGCATCCCCCTAGAGATGAGATATAAATGTAATAATAAAAGACGGGGGGACAGGGGGATGACACACACATACACCATAATACAGAAGCAGAACCTCAAACCTAACACGGAATAAAAACAGCAGTGAGAGTCCCGACAAAAGAACCGTGGCAAGAAAAATTGATGGATTATGCGGAACTGGTGAAATTGACATACAAGCTGCGAGACAAGGGCAACTGTGACTTTAAAGAAGAATGGGAACTTTCTACAAAATACTTAAAAAAAAACCCCAAAATGAATTGGACTCCTTGGCAGGTTTTGAATAAACATACACAAATTTATTTATTGTTAACATAATCTACAGATAATTTAAGGGTTTTTATAATTTTACAATATGCAGAGAATAACATGTGTTGAAAAATCAGAGAGAGGAGCTGGGGGAAGGGGGGAGGGTTTTTCATGGGGAGGGGGGGAGGGAAAAATGGGGGAGGGGAAATGAAGATGATATGTTTTGATAATTTGTTATGTTGAAATTCTTAATAAAAATTATTTTTTTTAAAAGCAAAAACACAGCAGTGAGAGATAGCAGCAAAAATTATGCCTGCGAAAACTTTCTGTTGGAAAAAGACTCCTGCTGCTCCCACCACCCTCTGGCAGCTGGCAATAACCTTTCCTGTGGCTGCCCCCAGACTGCGAAATTCTCTCCCATGAGAAGCTAGACTGGCTCCCTCCTTGTCATGTTTCTGCTGGCAGGCTAATACCACCCTATCCAGCCAGGTATCTGGAAACGAAGATGCAGACGGTGATTGCCACTAGGGCAAAGTGGAGTTTAATTGCTGGTTTTAAATGTAATTTTTAAACTAGTTTTTATTGCTTTATATTTTATAACAATGCTGTATACAATGAATGTTGTAGGACTTAGAAGAAAGGTGGTATATAAATATATTGAATAAAGAAAGTACATTCAGCTCATAGTTAAGCTGTGGAACTCGGTTCCACAGTGGGCAGGAAGAGTCACCAACCTAGGCAGCTTTAAAAGAGGATTAGTCAAATTCATGGAGGAGAAAGGCTTACAGATTTCCCCAGGTTGGTCACTATGAGAACAGAGAACACTGTGAGAACAGTGGGCCACTGGTCTGATCTAGCAGGCTTTTCAAATGAGCTCACGTTCCTCATTAGATAAACTACAAGGAAAAGTTCTGTGATGCTCCTCAGCTGTGCAAATTCTGCTCTGCTTAATCTTTCCATTTTGATGTGCTTATTTGGGTAGCTTCCTGCTTTGCTTCTGTCATAAAACCCAAGGCAGCCTGTGTGTGGTTCCTAGGCCGTCTCCCATCTAGGCCCTGTCCATTCTGCCCACTCGCAGGACAATGAGGCAAGGATCTGAGTTAATGTCTCAAAGCTTAGAGAGAGATGCTTTACGGGTGAGTCAGGCTCATGTGGGCGAAAGTGAGTCTTAAGATAGCTTTGGCCTCTGGCCCACAAAGCAGGGGTATTGTTAAGCCCTAAACTTTTGCACACAAGCCCTGGATTTCCTCCCTCTTCCCCGCTCTTTTAAAAAACTTACCTTAAAAATAAAATGCTTACTTAGGTGCTATACATATTGTGAAGACAGGTCCTCTCCTGATTTAGAGAAGTTGTCCCAGTTTCTGATTTGATGTCCCGCTTTCCCTTAGGATGACACTATTTTCATTGGAGAAATGTTGGAGGGTATGGAGTTATCCGGCCCCCAAACCAACTGAAGGCAACCCTGTATAGGGAAGTTTTTTTTAAAAAAATGTTTAATATTATATTACGCTTTTATATATGTTGGAAGCTGCTCAGAGTGGCTAGGGCAACCCAGTAAGATATGTGGGGGTTAAAATAGTAAAATTATCATTATGGAATGGGACATCCCTATTTTCATTGGAGAAATGTTGGAGGGTATGCAAAGAGCCTGTGAGATCCCAGCCTCATCTTAATTTTGTTCCGAAAGTTGGATATTCATTCATTCATATAAGTTATCGCCTGCAGATTTTATGCAAGGTTGTGTTATGGGTTCACAGATTGCATCCAACCTACACAGGGTAGGCCTGTCCTGTGGCAATTAATGGCCATGATGAGCTCGGGTTTGTTAATTTCCATTGGTCTGCTGTTTGTGGGTCTAATGCTGTCTGCAACTCTGTATCCTGAGCAGGGATGATGGAGAGATTCAACTCAATTATCCTCTAAAGGCAAAGCCACCTAAAGGCACAGCCTACCTTCAAAATTTGTACTTACCTGAATTTTGCAATGTGCAACTAAACTTTATCGAACTGTGTATATTGGGGGAAATATGCATGAAAACAAATGTGTTGTTGAAATTAACATACAAAGATGCATTATATTAGGAAATGTTGTTTGCAAAAACATGTATGGTAAGCACAACTGAGCACAAAAATATGCTTATCAGGAGAAATTCACCCCAATTTTTTTTAATGCAAATTGTGGTAGAAATTTAGAGAACTGAATCAGTGTCTGGAAAAATGGGGAACTGAAAATGACATTGACAGGTCCTTCTACCCCTAATCTCGAATCTTTTAAGTATTTAGCAATATCCTGCATTAGGCTTTTAATGGTTCATACACTTAACTTGAATGGAGCTATCAAACTAATTGGTTAGGAGGTAAGTTGGTTTTGTAAATTTATTAGCAGCTAAAGGCTAGTAACAATTGTCTTCTTCCCTCCCTGCTCCCCAATCATCCTTGCAACAAGTCACAGAGGCCAGGTGTAAGCATTGCAATAAGTAGATAAATTCAGGGTTTCCAGGAAAATGTGGGGTTTTTTCAGAGTTTGATGGTTATGTGTCATGTGCATACATGAGAGAGCAGGGGACAGCAACAAATGACTGGGAAGGTGTGTCATTAAGAATGCATTGCTTGTTAAAAGGAAGAGGAAAACATTTGCACTCTTCCGCACGCTGTCCTTGAAGAGCACACAATGGTGCAGAACGTCACTCTGTGCGTTCCAAAGCTCAGCAGGCATGTTTTATCTCGACACTGGGAAAAGCCAATGGGCACATGGCTGTTTAACTTGAAACTTTGATAAAATAGAAATGATTCTATAATCATATAATTAGGAAACCATTAATGAGGGTTTGGGAGAGAGATAAAGACTTAACAGAACAAAAGACACCTTGGTGGCTCTCACCAATTGAAGCCTTGTTGCCCAAGCCACTTGGCAAGAAAGGGGAGTGGCTTACGTACAGTGATTTACTAAAAGATCAAGAAGGAAAATGGAAACTATAAGAGTACGATGAAACGAAAGTCAAATTTTAGAGTTGGTTACATTATAGGCAATTACATGAGACGTATAAAGAAGACCATAAGAAAGGATTTAGTTACACCACTTCTAGATTTCAAAAAGGAAGTCATAGAAAGGAAAGTGAAGTTGCTGAAAGGCGCATATAGTATTCTGCTAGAATGGGAAACAAAAGATGAAGAGGTGAAACAAAAGATGAAGATGATCAAATGGACAAAAGATATAGGACATAACAAACAATTTGGAGATTGGGAAAAATTGTGGAAAACAGATTTAAAATTTACAGATTTTTCTCTTTTGAAAGAAAACTACACGAAAATGATGTATAGATGGTATATAACACCAGTACAGATAGAAAAAATGTATAAAACCAGGTCAAACATATGTTGGAAATGTAAAGAAAAGGAAGGAACCGTTTACCGTATGTGGTGGGAATGCAGAGAAATTTGAAAAAAAAATGGGAAATTATATATAATGAGTTGAAGAAAATGTTTAAAATGACATTTGTAAAAAAACCAGAAGCATTTTTGTCAGGGATTGTAGGGCAAGACCTGCGAAGGAAAATAAAGAACTTATTTATGTACGCTACAACAGCGGCAAGAGTCTTGATAGCACAAGGATGGAAGAATGAGGAAACCCCGACAAAAGAACAGTGGCAAGAGAAATTGATGAACTATGCAGAACTGGCGAAACTGACATACAAACTGTGAGACAAGGACAATTGTGAATTCAAAGAAGAATGGGAACTTTTTGCAAATTATTTAAAAAAACAACAAAATGAACTGGACTCGTTGGCAGGTTTTGAATAAACACACACAAATTTATTGAGGGTTAATATAGTAGACAGATAATACAATTTTACAATATGAAGAGAATAATACGAGTTGAGAAATCAGAGAGAGGAGCTGAGGGAAATCTCAGGGGGAGGGTTTGTTGGGAAGGTGGGAGGGGGGAAAAAGGGGGGGACTAATGAAGATGATTTGTTTTGATAATTTGCTATGTTGAAATTGTTAATATATTTTTTTAAAATAAACTTTGATAAAATACTGCAGGGAGAAACCAGATTGATTCCACGTTTGCTGTTTAAAATATATGGGTTGGTGGGTATGGTTAGTATCTCCAGGGGTACTGTTCATTTATTTATTTCATAGAATTTATACACTGCTTAATCGTAAAAAAAAAAAACCAAACCCGCAAAGCTGTTTAACAATAAAACAATATTATCATAAATAAGAAGAATTAACGACAATAATTTAAGACATTCAAAAAGTTAAAATTAACAACAAGCTAAGACGTGCATCGATTTTCTGAACACTAGGTAAGCTTCCCTAAACAAAATATTTTTCACAGGCACCAAAAAGAGCATAGCTAAGGCACCTGTCCTGCTGTCAAGAGGCAGTGAGTTCCAAAGGTTGGGTGGTGCCACACTGGAATATTGAGTTCTTACAAATGCGGGACAAGTATTATGTGGCACCTGCAATGCTGCCAGTTCTGCAGATCAAAGCATTTGAGTAGGCCCATATGGGGTACGGCGATCTCGCATGTAAACTAGCCCCAAGTTGTTAAGGGCTTTCTATACCAATATCAATGCCTCTGGATAACTTTAGATCATGGGTAGGCAACCTAAGGCCCAGGGACTGGATCCAGCCCAATCGCCTTCTAAATCTGGCCTGTGGACGGTCCAGGATTCAGCATGTTTTTACACGAGTAGAATGTGTCCTTTTACTTCAAATGCATCTCTGGGTTATTTGTAGGGCATAGGAATTCATTCATCCCCCCCCCAAAAAAAAATATATAGTCAGGCCCCCCACAACGTCTGAGGGACAGCGGGCCACCCCCTGCTGAAAAAGTTTGCTGACCCCTGCTTTAGATAGTGTGTCCCAATGTCTGTGGTGTATTGCATCTGAATATTTGGCCCCATATCAAGAGAACCCGAAGCACTTTTCTCACAGGGAAGCTGGTGGCTCACATTGGAGAAACGCAAGTTCAGATCCCTAGTTAGTCCACAGATCTCATTGGGGGCTAAGGCAGTCCCTAACTCTCAAGTTAGCTTGCCTTTCAGGGTTGTTGTGAAGCTGCAGGGGACTGGCTGAGAGCTCCTTTGGAAGGAAAGTGGGAGGCAGACTACTGATTCTCAGAGGGCTCTCTGAGCTCCTTCTTCAGAGAGGGTAGTCCAGGGACAAACAGCATACAGTTTTTCTCAAAGGGACCCTTGCTCCCTGAGAATAAAGTTCTGCAGCATCTGCAGTAAAGGCTTCACAGGTCTGTGCAGAAGCTCACACCTGACATATAGGCTGCCGTTTACCCTTTTCTGTCTGCAATCATGTGCTGATAAAAGCCATTTTGCACCTCTTGGAGGTCATTAGCTGGTGAAAGGAGATGGCTTTTTAAAAGATTATAATAAATAAATGTTAAAAATTGAGAAATCAACATGCACCTCTCAAGCACTACACATATATGCTCAGAGTCATGCTAAACTCAGTGGTGCCCACCCCCACAAGCAAGCGTGCCTAGGGACTGTAGCTGTGTTTATTTGGATGTCGCAAATGCATTTCCCTGGTGAAAAGTTCTGTTAAGTCCCTGTTCTGCGCCACCTTAAATCTACTGGTTTGCCTCACCTAACCCTGTTGTTCCATTTCGCCCTACATCTTCCTGAGAAAACACACCCATGTCCTCAAATTCACTTCTCCCAGGAACCGCTGCCTTGCCAGAGGCTCACTGTTAACTTACTGCACACTGCTGGGGAACCTTCAGACGCACTTGAAAACAAAGAGAAGAGAGAAATAGAACCAACTTCTCTTTTGTGCCTGAGAAGCCTGGGTGGAGAGGAATTATGGAAAAGATCAAGCACAGCAAGTTCTGAGAGGAAATACATGTGGATTTCACCCTGAGCAGATGGTCTGTGGGCTAAAAGGCAAAATGACATTTCAGTTTCTTTGGAGCGAAACTGGGAGGAAGCTATTTGCAGGAACACAATCAAATCCAAAACTTTTAAAATAAAAATAATTCTCACCACCACCACCACCGATGAACCGAAATCATTTTAGTAGCTGGAGTGTATACATACCGTTTGGCTGGACCTGACTTCTCTGAGTTGGAGAACAGCCTGTGTAGGGATGGATGTGGAGTTGTAACCTGCCCAGTCTATATTCTGCTGAACTAGGCAGGACTTGCATAAAAGGAAACTGTCCCAGCACTTTCTGTCAAAATTAAGCCCTGTTTTGTTATTTCCAAGAGGGATTGTTCTAGATCTCACATCCTGAGCTATTTTGACAGAAACCCAGGGGATAGGGGAGAGAGAGCGAAGTTTTCGATGTCAAAACATGGGTAGTTGTGGAAGGGCAAGTTGCAGGCAAAGTGCGTCTTATGTTCTCTCTCTCTCTCTCTGTGCTGCTGCTTGCCACGTTTCCTTGTTTTGCTTGCAAAAAGCTGGTGAATCACATTCTAATTGGTGCAATTGCAATGGTTGAGGGGGGGAAACATAGTTTGAAGGCGGGGCCTTTTCCTTCCTGACCAAAAGTACTGTTTTGAATAGTGTGGCTTTGGCAATGCTATTTTTGTAGGAAGGAAAAGAAACAGAATGTGCGAGCATTTTGGAAGAGAAATGCAATCCGTTCAGTTTCCCTGTTTTCAAATTGTCCAGCCTTCTGGCCTTTTTCAGACGGGCGAGGCCTGCAGATTCCTAAGCGGAGTCTTGTTCCAGGGAAGGGCTGTGACCAGAGCTCAACCTTCAGGATGTGGGGGGGGGGATAGCAATAGTGGGTGATTCTTAAGAGGCAGGCAGCCTTTTAAGACCAGGGCCTCTAGAGGCAGCTAGCAATAAAATCATTAAGAACAGAACAACGAGGCAAAGATCAGGTTCTATCTCAGATCCTTCCAAGTGTTCCTATTTTCCAAGGGCACTATTTTTCTCATTCTCCTCATTGTGGGAGTTTACTATAGATCCCCAAGCCAAACGGAGGACATAGATGATGCCTTCCTGGAACAGATGGCCAAGCATGCAAAAGGAAGGGAGATAGTAGTAATGGGGGACTTCAATTACCCGGATATTTGTTGGATGTCAAACTCAGCCAAGAGCATAAGGTCAAACAGATTCCTCACTGGCCTTGCAGACAACTTCATTGTCCAGAAAGTGGGAGAAGCAACAAGAGGAACAGCCATTTTAGATCTGGTCCTAACCAATGTGGATGACCTGGTTAGTGGGGTAGAAGTGGAAGGATCATTAGGCGCAAGTGATCATGCTCTTCTGAAGTTTACTATACAGCGGAAGGGAGCAGCCAAGCATACTAGGACTCAATTTCTTGGCTTTAAGAAAGCTGACTTCATAAAACTTAGGGAAGTGCTGGGTGAGATCCCATGGACAGTAATACTAAAAGGAAAGGAAGTTCATGATGGCTGGGAGTTTGTTAAGAGGGAGATAGTAAAAGCACAACTTCAGGCAATACCAATGAGACGGAAACATGGACGGTGCCTAAAGAAGCCAGGGTGGCTATCTAAAGAACTTTTAACTGAGTTAAGATTAAAAAAGGATGTGTACAAAAAATGGGAAAGGGGGGAAACCACCAAAGAGGAATTCAAACAAATAGCCAGCATGTGTAGACACAAAGTCAGAAAAGCTAAAGCACAGAATGAACTCAGGCTTGCTAGAGAGGTTAAAAGCAACAAAAAAGGCTTTTATGGGTATGTTCGTAGCAAAAGGAAGAACAAAGAAACAGTGGGGTCACTCAGAGGAGAAGATGGTGAAATGCAAACAGGGACACAGAAAGGGCTGAACTCCTCAATGCCTTCTTTGCCTCAGTCTTCTCCGATAAAGAAAACAATGCCCGACCTGAAGAATTTGGAGCAAATGATTCAGCAGAGGAAACACAGCCCAGAATAACTAAGGAGATAGTACAAGAATACTTGACTAGTTTAGATGTATTCAAGTCTCCAGGGCCAGATGAACTGCATCCAAGAGTATTAAAAGAACTGGCAGATGTGATCTCAGAACCACTGGCAGTCATCTTTGAGAATTCCTGGAGAACAGGCGAAGTCCCGGCAGACTGGAGGAGGGCAAATGTTCTCCCTATTTTCAAAAAGGGGAAAAGAGAGGACCCAAATAATTACCGCCCAGTCAGTCTGACATCAATACCAGGGAAGAGTGACTAGTGGGGTGCCACAGGGTTCTGTCTTGGGCCCGGTCTTAGTCAACATCTTTATCAATGACTTGGATGATGGACTCAAGGGCATCCTGATCAAATTTGCAGATGACACCAAACTGGGAGGGGTGGCTAACACCCCAGAGGACAGGATCACACTTCAAAACGACCTTGACAGATTAGAGAACTGGGCCAAAACAAACAAGATGAATTTTAACAGGGAGAAATGTAAAGTATTGCACTTGGGCAAAAAAAGAGAGAGGCACAAATACAAGATGGGTGACACCTGGCTTGAGAGCAGTACATGTGAAAAGGATCTAGGAGTCTTGGTTGACCACAAACTTGACATGAGCCAACAGTGTGACGCGGCAGCTAAAAAGCCAATGCAATTCTGGGCTGCATCAATAGGAGTATAGCATCTAGATCAAGGGAAGTAATAGTGCCACTGTATTCTGCTCTGGTCAGACCTCACCTGGAGTACTGTGTCCAGTTCTGGGCACCACAGTTCAAGAAGGACACTGACAAACTGGAACGTGTCCAGAGGAGGCAACCAAAATGGTCAAAGGCCTGGAAACGACGCCTTATGAGGAACGGCTGAGGGAGCTGGGCATGTTTAGCCTGGAGAAGAGGAGGTTAAGGGGTGATATGATAGCCATGTTCAAATATATAAAAGGATGTCACATAGAGGAGGGAGAAAGGTTGTTTTCTGCTGCTCCAGAGAAGCGGACACGGAGCAATGGTGGAGTCTCCTTCTTTGGAGGTCTTTAAGCAAAGACTTGACAACCATATGTCAGGAGTGCTCTGATGGTGTTTCCTGCTTGGCAGGGGGTTGGACTCGATGGCCCTTGTGGTCTCTTCCAACTCTATGATTCTATGATTCATTTGATCCTTGTCCATTCAGGGCCATCATCCATTAAAAGGTCTGCATTAGTGGCGGGGGGGGGGGATATTAAAATGCGTTAGATTAGGGGGAACTGCTTGCCCTGAATATGTGCCTTTTAGGGACACATATTTTGGTTTGAGAGCTTCATTCACAAAATTTGGAGAAGTGCAGAATTACAAGGAGTAGCCACATTCAGGTTTGTGGTTGTTCCAGGAGGTGTGAATTTGGCAGACAGCCATTAAAATGAGAACTGAACTGAATTCCCTCCCCATCCTTCTTCCCAAATAGGCATCGGTAAACCTTCAGGATGCCCCTTTAAGCAAATAATTCTGGGTGTTTGTTAAGGGTTCTGGGTGCTGTTAGTAGACCCCTACTTCCCTCACAGAGCTACAATTCCGAGAGTTTCTTGACAAGAGGGGTTGATCACCCCCCCCCTCAGTTGTTGGTCTTTATAGAGTTGGAAGGGCCACCTAGTTTAACCTCCTGCAATGCAGGAATCTCAACCCCCATCACACTTGAAACCATAGAATCATAGAATCCTAGAGTTGGAAGAGACCACAAGGGCCATCGAGTCCAACCCCCTGCCAAGCAGGAAACACCATCAGAGCACTCCTGACATATGGTTGTCAAGCCTCTGCTTAAAGACCTCCAAAGAAGGAGACTCCACCACACTCCTTGGCAGCAAATTCCACTGTCAAACAGCTCTTACTGTCAGGAAGTTCTTCCTAATGTTTAGGTGGAATCTTCTTTCTTGTAGTTTGGATCCATTGCTCCGTGTCCGCTTCTCTGGAGCAGCAGAAAACAACCTTTCTCCCTCCTCTATGTGACATCCTTTTATATATTTGAACATGGCTATCATATCACCCCTTAACCTCCTCTTCTCCAGGCTAAACATGCCCAGCTCCCTTAGCCGTTCCTCAGAAGGCATCGTTTCCAGGCCTTTGACCATTTTGGTTGCCCTCCTCTGGACACGTTCCAGTTTGTCAATGTCCTTCTTGAACTGTGGTGCCCAGAACTGGACACAGTACTCCAGGTGAGGTCTGACCAGAGCAGAATACAGTGGCACTATTACTTCCCTTGATCTAGATGCTATACTCCTATTGATGCAGACCCTGCTTAATTCTGCAAATGTGTGAGCAGTAAAACTGATGCACCACTCCTGTTTTGGGTAGTGGGCTCCTCAAATTCTTTCTCCACATACCTTATTTTCTGTTTGCATTTCTTTTTGCCAAAGTTCCTGCTCATTTCTCTTCTCCTCATGTGAGGAGCCAGCAGTGGTTTAGAGGCTAGAGCGCTGGCCTAGGACCTGGGAGATAGCCAGGTGCAAATCCCTCACTGGGTGCGGCCTCTTGGGCCAGTCACCATCTCTCAGCCTAACCTACCTCACAGGGTAATAATAATAATAATTTATTACTTATACCTCGCCCATCTGGCTGGGCTTCCCCAGCCACTCTGGGCGACTTCCAAAAAAATATTAAAATGCTGTAATACATCAAACATTAAAAGCTTCCCTAAAGAGGGCTGCCTTCAGATGTCATCTAAAAGTCTGGTAGTTGTTCTTCTCTTTGACATCTGGTGGGAGGGCGTTCCACAGGGCGGGTGCCACCACCGAGAAGGCCCTCTGCCTGGTTCCCTGTAACTTTGCTTCTCGCAGTGAGGGAACCGTCAGAAGGCCCTCAGCACTGGACCTCAGTGCCTGGGCAGAACGATGGGGGTGGAGACACTCCTTCAGTTATACTGGACCGAGGCTGTTTAGGGCTTTAAAGGTCAGCACCAACACTTTGAATTGTGCTCAGAAATGTACTGGGAGCCAGTGTAGGTTTTTCAAGACCGGTGTTATGTGGTCTCGGCGGCCGCTCCCAGTCACCAGTCTAGCTGCCGCATTCTGGATTAGTTGTAGTTTCCAGGTCACCTTCAAGATAGCCCCACATAGAGTGCATTGCAGTAGTCCAAGCGGGAGATGACCAGAGCATGCACCACTCTGGGGAGACAGTCCGCAGGCAGATAGGGTCTCAGCCTGCGTACCAGATGGAGCTGGTAAACAGCTGCCTTGGACACAGATTGTCGTGAGAATGAAATGGAGGAGGAGAAGTATGTACACCACCTTGAGCTTCATGGGGGGGAAAGGTGGGCTATAAAATGTCATTAATGAAAATAAATAAATTTGGACAAGACTTCCATTTGCTGAAGCAGGGGTGGGGAGATTCAGGCTTGGGGCCAAATGCTGTGCTCTAGACATCTCTATCTGGCCCACACCCTTCACTGGACCTGGTTTACACCACAAATGTCTATCTAGCCTAGCGGTTCTCAAACTTTTTTATCTGGGCCACACTTTCAGAATAAATATTTGCTTGCTTCATACCGTTTATTTTTACTGATAAGAAATATGT